TCACCTGGGGAGATCGCCAAGAGGGAGCCTAAGTCCGACCCCGTCAACATATACGGTTAGACCGACCTTTACTCAAAAGCTTAAGCCAATGAGTTATGGACCAACTATGATATATTAACTGCTCATCACCATATTAATTATCCGATGTGGGACTCTCTAACACAACTCACACGTGTATCTCAACAATCTCCCCCTCATGTGTAGCTCAATGTTAGGTTTGCTCCCCCTTAATTTAGGTATTCTTCTGCATCAGCTTATCTCAACTTGAATCTCCAAGTCATTGCAATGCACCCGCAACTATGCACAACAACCATCATCAATTGCTAACTTGGGATTGCATCACCCATGGTCTCTATCTCGCGTCACCAGACCAACTGTCCATGGTCACTTCTCACCAGACCAATCGTGATGATAATTTCCACACGAAACAAGCGTCGATCATGAGACTTCTTTATTGAGATATTCACCAAATACCACAATAGTTCGGAGGTCCACCGATCAACCATTGGCTCTGATATCAATTGTTGCGGAAGTTAAGTGATCAAACAATAAAATAGACAGAACAAGAAAATAAATCAGACATCAAATTTAAGTGATTCGGTCATAGTGATCTACGTCTATAGGGAGAGCAGCATGAAATTTTACTATAGATCAAGCGATATAATGGAAATTACAAATCACTCTCGAGTCACTCAAACACTATAAGTGTTTCCCAAGCCCCAATTACACCCAATAACTCATGCAGTGTTTAGCCCAATAATTCCTCATAAAATAATCTATCGATCTCACAAAGGAATTATACACAAATCTTACCACAAGATTTACGCTTGAACACTAATTCTTCTTGGATGTAATTCATGAACAAGAATCCACGAAAACACTCATTGCCAAGTACTCACGAACACGGCGCTTCCTTCTTCGTGCACAATAATAGTGCTTCTTGTTCACTTGCACGGCACACCAAGCACTCGCATTAGAGCGCTTCTACTGACCAAAAAGACCAAGAACTATATATATTACCAAAGAAACAGTCAGTGGTCAAATTCAACACGCAAAAGAAAGTTTAGGTAAGATACGGTCAATCATTATCCAACTTGGGCTTTTCTTTTCTTTGACCTGTGACTTCAATATGAATCAGGAAAGTAATCCTTTTCTTTCTTTCATTCTTGGCTAACTTCACTACGGATATTGATTTTTGTAGATTACCAACAAAGTCCAAGTTGGACTTTCTTTTTGCAGTGGGCGAAGACTCCAACTCATATTCAGAAAGCTAATTTCCGAAACTTGGCCTTGGATTCTTTTTTTTTTTATTTCTAAAATTTAGATTTTCGCTTCGGGCTCAAACTGAGACATAATTTTAACAATCTCCACCTTGGCTCGACGTTTGAGCCAAGTCACAATCGTTTCGTCGGAATTTCGCTACTACTCTCCCACAGCCCCAATGGGCTCAATCGCCACAGACGTCTTTCAAGTCCAAGCCTCTCTTGAACTTTGCCATAACCGTTGGCCTCATCAGAACACTAATTCCATATGCACCTTTAACTGCTCCGCAAAGACTTATCAACACAACCTCCTTAATCACAGATAAAGCAAAACCATCATTGCATCCATATCTATGAGAAGACCGAATACGCACCTTATTAATTTCAGCAGTTACAGTAACTGTTGATTCTATAGGCTCCACCTTGCTACAAGCACTATTTGTATCGATTACTCCGCTAGTACCCGCTACCTCATGAGTTTCTGGTTGTAACTCCACCTTAAGCTGAACACCGTTTAGATCTGTATGAACACTGCTATAATTACTCCTAGCCAGAAGTACTGAAGACTCGTTAAATGTAACTTCTTTGCTGATAACATGTGAATTTAATTCTGGGCACCACAACCGATAGCCCCGTTCACCTTGTGCATAACCTAGGAACATGCACTTCATTACCCTTCCATCGAGCTTATCATTACTAACTCGAACATAACATGGGCAACCAAATATTCTAAGAGTAGAATAATCAGCAATGTCACCTGACCACACTTCTTCGGGAATTCGACATCCAATCGCAGTCAATGAGATCTATTCTTCAGGTAGCTCACCGTACTAAGCGCATCCGTTAGGAATCTCCTAGACATACCAGCACTAGAAAGTATTTTATGGGCCGTTTCTAGTAATGTTCTGCTCATCAACTCTGCAACCTGTTGTGGTTCATTGGCATTGGTGCAGTGTCTCACTATGCCTTTCTTCATACAGAATTCGTTTAACAGCTTCGAGCAAACCTCCGTACTATTATCAGTCCGTGCCTGCTTGATCGTTTTACCAGTCCCCGTTTCGATCAAAACTCTTAACTGTCTGATCCTGACAACTGTATCAAACTTGTGCCTAAGCACAAACACCCACGTCTTCCTCGAGTAGTCATCAATAACTGTTAGCATAAATCTGACACTCTTCCTTAAAGGAAACAGTGACAACCTGCAAATATCTAAGTGAATTAATTCTACAATATCCGTGGTTTCTCTGACAATCGCACTGAACTGCACTTTCCGCCGTTGATCTGAGTCACAACACCTGCATATATTCAGTTCATTAGCCACATAACCACACAGTAAATTTCTTTCACTTAGAACCTTTAGGCTTCTCTCGCTAATGTGCCCCAAACGCATACGCAACAATTCAGACTCTCGAACCGATGCATCCGACGTCTCTACAACAAATTCCATCATTGTCTCACCTTGAAGTTCATATATACTATTATGCTTGATTCCTTTCATTATCACCAAGGCACATCGAATAATTTGCAGAAATCCACATTCTGAAGTATACCAACACCCAGCTGAATCTAAGGCACTCAAGGGAATCAAATTTTTCTTCAACTCCGAAACATGCCTCACTCCAATCAATGTCCTCACGATACCATCATGCATTCTGATTTTAATATCACTAATACCCACAACATCGCACTCAACATTGTTCCCCAACTGCACTTTACTACTATCCATGCACTGATAAGTAGTAAACCAGTTCCTGTTTGGTATAACATGAAAAAAACAACCAACATCCATAATCCATCCGCCAAACGACGAATCATTAGTGACAGAAAACACAAAATCAACACTATCCAAATTACCATATGCTATAGCTGCAACATCATCCGCAGACTCAATTCTAATTCCTTTACCCTTCTCATTCTTCAGCTTAAGGCAATTCTTTCTAAGATGCCCTCTCTTGCCACAACTCCAACAGATAATACCACTAGTCCTAGACTGACTTCGTCTATTTATATTTATACTACTTCTGCTAACACGAGTATCAGTTCTTCCTCTTCTTTCACCTACCAAAGCAGCAGATACATGTTTGCCGGATTCTCTTCTACAGATGTCTTCACTCAAAATTAAATCTCGAACACCATCAAACATTAAACTTGTTGACCCAGAGGAATTACTAATAGCAATAACAATATTTTCCAAACTTGTTGACCCAGAGGAATTACTAACAACAGTAACAGTAATATTTCAACAATCAGACAATGAGGATAATAGAATTAAAGCATGTACCTCATCTTCAAAGTCAATCTCAACTGAACTAATTGGCTAACGATCACATTGAATTCATTGATATGATGAGCAACTGACGCACATTCACTCATCTTCAAGTTAAATAGACGTCGCATCAAATAGATTTTGTTGATCGTAGAGGGCTTCTCATACATGTCCGATAGGGCCTTCATCAAGCCCGCAGTGGTCTTCTCATTCACGATGTTAAACGCGACATTATGAGCCAACATCAGCCGAATAACACCCAAAGCTCCAATTCCCAATCAGATTGCTTCATTGTCTTAGGCTTTTCACTTTTCCTTATTCTATCGTCATCGATTCGCTTCAACTCAGCCAAGCCAGGCTCTAATACCATTTGTTGGGAATGCACAATAGAAGCCCGATACCTTCACTTGGGGAGATCGCCAAGAGAGAGCCCAAGTCCGAGCTCATCAACATATCCAGTTGGACCGACCTTCACTCAAAAGCTTAAACCAATGAATTATGGGCCAACTATGATATATTAACTGCTCAACACCACATCAATTATCCGATGTGGGATTTCTCTAACACAACTCACGCGTGTATTTCAACAAAAAATAGACTTAATTCGATTTGATTTAACTAATTTTTTACAATTACATGCCGCTTCCGTTAAGATTTTGCTGTTTGCTAATATAGCATCGTCCAATGCCGAGCAAGTGTTTTTAATGATTTCATGCTTATTGAAGAAATGTTTTATCTTGAAATTTGAGGATTATATGCCCAAGTAGCTAAGTTGGACTCAGCTTACATATCTTTCCTCTACATATGTTTCATAGATAAATAGAAGAAATTGTCAATACCACGAAAAACTCCAAATTGATACACGTGTGACAATTTTACCCAAAATTATTTTTTTTACCACAAAAAATCCTAGCTTGGTACACCTGTGATAAATTTACCCCAAACTAATATTTTGACCACTAAAAACCCCAAACTGGTACATTTGTAACAAATTTACCCTCCGTTAGTTTCCGTTAAATTGAATTAATACCACAAAAAATCACAAACTAGTACACATGTGACAAATGAAGGGTAAAACATAAAATCGGTACATCAGTTAACTATCACGTGTCATTTAACAAAGCAATTTGACAGTAAAATTTAACGAAAATAAACTGAGGGTAAATTTGTTACAAGTGTACCAATTTGGGATTTTTTGTGGTCAAAAAATTAGTTTTTGATAAAATTGTCACATGTATACCAGTTTGAGATTTTTCGTGGCATTAACCATATAAGAAAAAAAGATAGATAAAATTATAAGATATCACTGCACCAACCCCTTTTTGCTATATCACCAAATAAAAACACCAATTGATCAAAACATGCTGTAATTGGCAATCCCTTTTTTTATGCAATGGAACGCGCATCTTGAACTCCTCCACACCATGACTATACTATATTCAATCACATCGAAAATTTATGAAGCGTGCATCTTTAATAACTGCAGCTTCCATAGCTGCGATCATTTATTCACCGGTGAAAATGTGCTGATATTGCAAATACAATTATGAAACCGATAGGGCAGGGCCTTATCTTTGCTCAGGGTACAAAGCACGTATGCCATTAATGTCATCTTGACTAAGATTCCTGTGGATAATACCCGGTGGAATACTGGGATACATAACAGCATTCGGATCCGAGCTGTGGGCTAGCCCTAGGAGGTGTCCTATTTCATGCAAGGCCACCGATTCCAGGTCCGTTTCGGTCAGGCCGGGGTTAAAACTCCACTGCTCTTCTGCGTCGTAGTGGAACCTACCGATGGTCGGGTAAAATGCATGGGCAAGAACATTGCCGGGCCCGTCGAAAGGATTACCGTCACCATGATTGCCGCGGTAGAAGCCTATAACGATATCGGCCGATCCGCTCGTAGATTCTTCGAAAGTGAACGCAGTAACTTCAGCCCAACTCTGGAAAGCTCTCGAGCAGACTCCTCTAAACTCCTCCAGTGGGATGGCCTTGGGGACCGGGCCGATAGCATAACTGAGACGGGTTTGGGAAGGCGGCCACTTAGGATTGTTGGGAAAGAACTTATAGCGCGCTACCATGCGGAACTTGCTCGGCTTAGTGGCATTCGTTCCTACGTGCCGAGGGTGGACCAAGTCGGGCACCCCGCATCGCGGGGCGCTCATCTGCTTAACGGTGTCGGCATCAAGCTTTCCGGTGACTTTAAGACGGTAGAATTTCTGGTAAGATCTGAGCGCCAACTCCAAAGTCTCGTCGAACTTGTCATCCATGAGGGCGACATCGTCGTTCTCGCCCTCTCCGTAGTCCAAGTATCCGAAAGCTTTGAGGTAACGCTTGACCTCTCTGATGCCATGCCTGGTCTGGCCCTTGATAGCACCCTCCAAACTCTGGAAGGAAGTGAGGCTTGGATCGGTAGATTTCAGGCTTCTCGAGTGAACGGTGAAGGGTTGATGAATCGCAAGGACGAGGACCAGGATGGACACGACAGAACAGGAAATCCTAGTAGCCATTTTGTCTATGTCTAGCAATTCAATCGTGTGGATTTCAGTAGTTCATGTGGCTACTTATAGATGGAGCTACTACTTAAGACGCAAGAATGTGGGTCCTAAATAAAACCCTTAATTATGCTTAATATGTAAGAATATCCCCTGGCTTTTTCTGTTAGTTGTCAAAGAAAAAGCATTAGGCATGATTTTAGGAAAAACATATACGAAATCCTAAATTTTTGGTCACTCCAATCTCTAAAACAATTTATTGTCTGAATCCTAGAAAAAAAAAAAGGCAGTACCAAATTTGAATTGTAAGACGACCCTGCATTTATTGAAGAGTATATGAGGTATTTGTAGATTTATAAGATGACTATTTAAATTAACAAGATGTTACAATATCAAGAACGAGCAAGTACGATCAATCAAGGGAGATATTTACCCGATCAAGAAAGACATAGAGAATTTCTTATTTATTTCTAACAATCAACGTATATTATCTCCATTAAATATATAGATGTCTGAAAGGGCTTTTCCTTATTGGTTTGATATACGAAACTATTACTAAATCCGATATTCGAAACTCTTACCATCTATTATTAGCAATCGCATTAAGTAACAAAAAGTGAAAATGCATTAAATAAGAGACCAGGGTAGGAGTGAAAAATGAAAAAACTAGTTTTAGTTATTAAGAGTGACTCAAAAACTAAAGAGGTGACAAAGTATTCTGCTCCAATATCTACACAATGTTGGTTCTGTTGAGGAAAACACTTCTTGGTACCAGGAAAGCGTAGCACCGTCAACTTCGAAAACAGGATCAGAATGATAAAAAATCTTATACAAAGTGAAGAAAACGTGAAAGATATAAGTTAAGGCTACATTTGGTTATTTGGATTCGGATTATGATAGGATAGGATAAAGGCCTCCCCATCAAATGTTTGGTGCAACTAAGATAGGATTTAAAATATTTGAAAATATGCAATCTAAGATAAAATTGAAATTTTTTTAAAATCCTTCTTGTTGAAAATCTTTGAGGGCACACGAGTAATGAGTCAAACCCTCTCAACCATTGTGTCAACAAGTAGTCACGGAAATTGATCTCAAGAGCTTGATGACTATCGACAAATATGACCTCTTCCATTAAGCAAAATTTTGAACTGAATGCAAGGAGGATTTCTCTCTGGCGTTTCATCAAATACTTGATGAACGCTTAGTTTAGAATCGACCAAGAGAGAGATCGTGGGACAATGGATGCCGAGAATGAATAATCAAAGGTGAAGTAGAGAGAGGAACCGAGAGATGATTCGATGATGGTGAAAAAGCTGGAAAATTGACTGAGAAAGAAAAGGAGCCACCAATGAAGTGGTGAGCCTTGACCTTCCAAGTGAACCGCAAGTAAGGGCACCGGCAATTATACTCAAGGATGCCGGAGTGAGGAACCATCACGGTGGATGGTCGTCAAAGTGGTGGTGGGGTGCTGCCTGTGAGAAACGCTAAGGACGGTACCTCTCGCTTGAGGTGAGATTTTTTTGGTGTGTGGGAATTGTTAAGTTAATTTTTAAAATTTTATATCCAATCCGAGTCTATCCCACCCCCTATCCCACATTTTTAAAATTTTATGATATGGCGATGATCCGGTGAAGCCGCCCTCGCTCAGGCAGCAAGGGTGGCTTCGTTGGATTGGGCGAGGGCAACTGCTTGGGCAAGGGTCGCCCTCGTTAGATCCGGCAAGAGCGGCCCTCACCCAGGCCGCAAGCCGCCCTCGCCGGATCTAGCGAGGGTCCAGCGGGGACGGCCCTTGCCCAAGCCATGAGGGTCCAGTCCTCTCCCTCACCGGCGAGGGTGGCCTTTGCTTGTGGCCGGCAAGGGCTACGACCAGCCATGGGCCAAGGAAGGAGAAGAAGAAAAAAAAAGAAAAAAAAAGGAAAAAGAAAAAAAATTTATTTTCCACTTCTGATTCTTGTTCTTAGAATCAAGAATCAACTTTTTTTTATTCTTGATTATATTTCAAAACTGATTATGAGAATAAATTTGTGCTTGGGAACAAAAAATTTATCAAACAGATTTCTGTTCTTTTTTTGTTCTCATAAACAAAATAATAGAATTAGACACTGTTTGGTCGGTTACCAAATAAGCCCTAGTAGAATCACGAAAACTATAGGCCAAGGCCTTTTCTTTGCTCATGGTACAAAAAATGTTTGCCATCGATGTCATCTTGTTGAAGAGCCCTTTTGGCAGCACCCTGCAGAATAGTGGGATACATAACAACGTTTAGATTCCCGCTATGGCCGAGCCCTAGGAGGTGTCCTATTTCATGCACGGCCACCGTTTCCGAGTCAAAATTGGGTCGAGCCGGGGTTAAAGTACCACTGCTCATCCGCGTCGTAGAGGAACCTACCGTCTGTCGGGCCAAACGCATGGGCAAGAAGTTTGTTGGGCCCATCGAAAGGATGACCTTTCACCGTGATCGCCTAGTAAGATTTGAGCACAGACTCTAACGTCTCGTCAACCCTGTCATCCATGAGGACGACATTGTTCTCATCCTCGTAGTCTGGGCTGCGCATGGCGTGTGAATCATTTTGTCCCGAAACAGTTCTGCTCGAGAAATGATTCTTTTTGATTCTCGCTTCGGAAATAATTTCTAAGCATTTGAAGGCGTTTGGTAATTGCCCAAAATTTCTATTCTTAGAATAGAAAAAGAACAAAAATGCATTTGGTAACTACACAAAATTTCATTTTATTAATAATATTTTAAATTTTTTAATATTTCTTTCTTTTTTTTCTTTATTTCCCTTCTCTTCCTTGGCCATGGCCAGTTACCGGCACCAGCGACCGGCCACAGGCGAGGGCGGCGGCGAGGGCATCGCGGCCCTTGCCGCCGTCCTAGCCGATCGCGACGGCGAGGTCGGCCTCGCCTTCGCTGGGCAAGTCTACGAGCCGCCCTCGCCGGCCCTGGCCTGTGGCCGGTCGTAGGTGGGTGGTGGGCGGCACTCCGAACTACAACAAACCAAAAAAAAGAAGAAAATGAAGAAGAATCAGAAATGGAAAAATTGTTCCAGAATCAATAAGCTACTTTTTTTTTCTTCTTGATTATGTTCCAAAACTAATTCTGGAAATAATTTTTTGCAAAATTATGCCCGGGCACAAAAAATTTAACAAACGGATTTTTGCTTCCAAACTGATTCTGGGAACAAAAAAAGAAATTTTTACTATTTGACAAGTTGCCAAACAGGCCGTAAGTATCCAAGAGCCTCGAGGTAATGACTAACCCTTTGATGCCTTGCTTGGTTTGGCCCTTGATAGATCCCTCCAGCTGTTGGAACGAAGAGAGGCTTAAAATTGGTAGATTTCAGGCTTCTGGAGTGAATGGTGAAGGGTTCAATTGCGAGAAAGAGAACGAGGATAGGCGCAAAAATAGATGGAGCTACAACCCAAGACGCGATAATGAGGCTCCGGATTACGATATGTTTGAATGAGTCTTCCATAAACGACCTCCACGAAACGTTCAATTACGCTAATTTTTAGGAAATTTCACTGAGTGTTTGTACTGAACTATGGTCACAGACTTCACACACCCAGGGATAAATCATGAATGACCAAATTATGCTACCTTACCGATAGAACGAATATGATCTGTTGGAAATGATATTCTGATCAAGAGTAGTATCATAACCTAATCCAAGCCGACGATGATTTTTACTAGTTGTTCAGTTGGTGTTCAAGAGAGAATTAGGGAACCATCATCGAAACTCTTGCTCACTCTGTCTCAAAGCATGGTGAAGACATCAATATGTTTGTTTCTTTTGCGAGTCAACATGAAGAAGATCATATTGTTCTGTGTGAAGGTCAGGGATCGCAATACGGAAGCAATTGAACTCTATGGAATCGCGAGTTGCTGATATCGCTAAAAGAATCATGAAAACTATGGGGCGCGGCCTAATCTATTGCGAAGGGTACAGCACACGTATGCCATTGATGTCATCTTGCTGAAGATCCCTTTTGACCGAACCGGCCAAAGTTACGGCATACATAACGGCCTTCTCATCGTTGCTGTGGGCAAGCCCTAGGACGTGTCCTATTTCATGCAAGGCCACCGATTCCAAGTCTATTTGGGTCGAGGTCAGGCTGGTGGTCCAGTGCTCATCTGCGTCAAAGTGGAACCTACCGTCTGTCGGGGTAAACGCATGAGCAAGAATATTATAAGCCCCGTCGAAGGGTGAACCATCACTGTGATCGCGTCTGTAGAAGCCTGTGACAATATCAGGCGAGTCTTCCAATGGAACTTCTCCGAAAGTGAATTGTGAAACAGATGACCAGCTTTGGAAAGCTCTCCGGCAGACTTCTCTAACCTCACCTGGCGAGACTTCACCGATGATAGGGCCGAATGCGTAATTAAGACGAAATTTGGACCACGTAGGCATGTTGGGAAAGAAGTTAAAGTGCGCTACCACGCGCAACTTGCTATGCTTAGTGGCATTCCTTTCTGCGTGCCGAGGGTGGACCAAGTCGGGCACCCCGCATCGCGGGGCGCTCATCTGCTTCAACGTGTTGACATCGAGCTTTCCGGTGACTTTAAGATGGTAGAATTCCTGGTAAGATTTGAGCGCTGACTCCAAAGTCTCGTCGAACTTGTTGTCCATGAGGGTGACATCGTCGTTCTCGCCCTCTCCGTAGTCCAAGTATCCGAAAGCTTTGAGGTAACGCTTGACCTCTCTGATGCCTTGCCTGGTCTGGCCCTTGACAGTCCCCTCCAAACTCTGGAAGGAAGTGAGGCTTGGATCGATAGATTTTAGGCTTCTCGAGTGAACAGTGAAGGGTTGATGAATCGCAAGGAGGACCAGGATGGACACAACAGAACAGGACATCCTAGGAGCCATTTTGTCTATGTCTAGCAATTCAATCGCGTGGATTTCAGTAGTTCATGTGCTACTTATAGATGGAGATACTGCTTAAGACGCAAGAATGTGGGTCCTAAATAAAACCCTTAATTATGCTTAATCTGGTAAGAATATCCCCTGGCTTTTTCTGTTAGTTGTCAAAGAAAAATCATTAGGCATGATTTTAGGAAAAACATATACGAAATCTTAAATTTTTGGTCACTCCAATCTCTAAAACAATTTATTGTCGGAATCCTAGAAGAAAAAAGGCAGTACCAAATTTGAATTTTAAGATGACCCTGCATTTATTGAAGAGTATATGAGGTATTTATAGATTTATAAGATGACTATTTAAGTTAACAAGATGTTACAATATCAAGAATGAGCAAGTACGGTCAATCAACGGAGATATTTACCTGATCAAGAAAGACATCGAGAATTTCTTATTTATTTCTAACAATCGACATATATTATCCCCACTAAATATATAGATGTCTGAAAGGGCTTTTCCATATTGGTTCGATATACAAAACTATTACTAAATCCGATACTCGAAACTCTTACCATCTATTATTAGTAACCGCATCAAGTAACAAAAAGTGAAAATGCATTGAATAAGAGAACAGGGTAGGAGTGAAAAATGAAAAAAAAAAATAGTTTTAATTATTAAGAGAGACTCAAAAACTAAAGAGGTGACAAAGTATCCTGCTCCAATCTACACAATGTTGGTTATGTTGAGGAAAACACTGCTCAATACTAGGAAAGCGTAGCGCCATCAGCTTCGAAAACAGGGATCAGAATGATAAGAAATCCAATACAAAGTGAAGAAAATGTGAAAGATATAACTTAGAGCTGCGTTTGATTGTTCGGATTCGGATTATGATAGGATAGGATAAAGGGAGATTTGAAATCCTCCCCACCAAATGTTTGGTGCAACTAAGATAGGATTTAAAATATTTGAAAATATGCAATCTAAGATAAAATTGAAAATCTTTTAAAATCCTTCTTGTTGAAAATCTTTGAGGGCACACGAGTAATGACTCAAATCCTCTCAACCATTGTGTCAACAAGTAGTCATTGGGAAATCGACCTCTGGAGCTTGATGACTATCGACAAATATGGCCTCTTTCATTAAGCAAAATTTTGAACTGAATGCGAGGAGGATCTCTCTCCGGCGTTTCATCAAATACTTGATGAACGCTTAGTTCAGAATTGACCAAGAGAGAGATCGTGGGACAATGGATGCCGAGAATGAGTAATCAAAGGTGAAGTAGAGAGAGGAACCGAGAGATGATTCGATGACGGAAAAGCTGAAAAACTGACTGAGAAAGAAAGGGAGCCACTGATGAAGTGGTGAGCCCGGATCTTCCAAGTGAACCGCAAGTAGGGGCATCGGCAATTATACCTAAGGACGTTGGAGCGAGGGACCATCACGGTGGATGGCCGTCAGAGTGGTGGTGGGGTGCTGCCGGTGAGAAATGCTAAAGACGGCGCCTCTCGCTTGAGGTGAGGTTTTTTGGTGCATGAGAATTGTTAAGTTAATTTTTAAATTGTACATCCAATCCGGTCTATTCCACCTTTCCAATATCTTTGGCCTCATCCTTTCTTCAGCACATCTTCTATTTTAGCTGAAACCCAGTTTGCTAATTCCATCTAAAATTAAACATTTGTCGACGGAAATATTGTTCTGTGTGAATGTCACGCATCATACTACGGTAACAATTGAACTTTATTAAAATCGCGAGTGTTTTTTCTTCTTTTCTAGTCATTGAACTTGCCCTCCAATAACACCTTGACGAGTGACTTGATTTTTTTAATTTAATTTAGATTTAATTAAATTCTCGCAATTGCAAACCACTTTCGATTAAGATTTTGCTAATGATGGCAGCTTATATGGTATTGTCCATACACGAGAATGTGTCTTGAATAATTATAAATGCTTACTCAAGAGATTGTTTTACCATTAAAGGTTTTATTTGTTTCACAAAAAATTTTACGTTTTTTTTAAAAAATGACGATTTTTTTTAGGTATTTTGTTGAAAATTGAAAAAAGAATCACAAAATATTTCCCGTCATTTAGAATGAATTCTTAACTACACATACACTATTCAGAAGTATGGGCACTAAGATCGCGGGTCTAGCCTCAATGGACCCTAACTTGGGCACCGACGACTCGAGCAAGGCCACTTGGGTCCCGAGCAAGAGAGCAGGTACTAATCTCGCGTCCATAGAAGCCGAAACCTAGAACCCAGTGACCGTGCACATCTCTTGGCGCCCTAGCCTAGTCCACAAAGGCCGAGCCCGAGCCCCTAGTGCTTGTGCTAGGATTTCCAACACCAGAGTCTTAGGGTACGTATGGTAACGTTTCTATTTCCGGGAACAATTTCTTTTCAGAAATAGTTTTTTCTATTTCTATTTCTTGGAAGAGTTTTTGAGCAAAATAATATGTTCGGTAACTGCACAAAATTTCTATTTCTAGAACAGAAATGTGTTTGGTAACTGCACAAAATTTATATTCCGGAATAGAAAAAGAACAAATGCGTTTAGTAATCGCAAAAATTTCTATTCCCAATTTTTGCATTCAAATCTATATCTTTTATTTAACTATAAGTACAAGTTATAAGTGAAAAAATCAATAAGCATGATTTATTGGTTTGTCTAATCCTTTTTAGGGTTTAAAACCCCTTTTAATCCTTAAACTAAGGAATATTCAAAAATACCACTTGGGCACCTCAAAAATTTAAATTTCACTCAAAGTGGGTGACCATAGGTATTCTAAGCCATTATGTGAATTTTTTTATATTTTTTTGGGGTAAAATTTATTAAAATTTTTTACTTTCCCTAAATCTATTTCTTTTTATTTTTCCGAAATTTTTTATGAATTTTTTTAATTTTTTCAATTTCGAATTTTGCAAATATTTAAGGGTTTTCTGAGTTTTTCTGTTTTTTATGGATTTTCTGAGAATTTTTCTGATTTATATGAATTTTGGGAATTTTTTAATTTTCTAATTTTCCAATTTTTTATGGGATTTTTCTGAAAATTTTCTAATTTTTATGAATTTTCGGAATTTTTTAATTTATTCTAAGTCATTATGTGAATTTTTTATTTTTTTATTTTTTGGGGAAAAGTTTATTAAAACTTTTTACTTTCCCGAAATTTGTCTCTTTTTATTTTCTTGAAAGCTTTTTATGAATTTTTTTTAATTTTTTCAATTTCGGAATTTTGCTAATTTTTATGGGTTTTCTGAGTTTTTCTGATTTTTATGGATTTTCCTGAGAATTTTTCTGATTTTTATGAATTTTATGAATTTTTTAATTTTTTATAATTTAATTAATTTTTTATAATTTTTTATTATTTCCGCGAGAATGGACCTGACCGGTGCTTTGAGACAGGTTTGCGACGACGGAGGATGGAGGAGGAGCCGAGGTCGCGGCTGAGGACCTGACCTTTCTATTTCTATTTCTATTTCTAGGAACAAAGAAGTAGATTTTTCTACTTCTTATTCCCGCTCCAAATCTATTTTTACCACTTTTCTATTCCAGAAATAAAAATAAAATACGTTACCAAACGATTTCTGTTCTTTTTGTTGGAATGAAAAATAGAGAAACAGTAGTCGTACTAAACGCGCCCTTAGTCCACAAAGCCCGAGGGACCCCGTGACCTAGTCCACGGCATTCGAGCTCACGTCATCGACACTCGAGCCCCGCTGCACCAAGTCCTGTCCCGAGGACGTCGATGCCCATGCTTGAGTTCCCAACAACCCAACCAGAGCTCTCAGCGATTGGGCTCAGGTGGGGACCCAAGCACTGGCATCGAGGTCTTGGGTCCAGCCTCGATCGAAGGCTGGCGACCCGGGCACGGGCACCAGGGTCTCGTGCTTGGCCTCAATGGACTAGGGCGGCCTCGGTGGGCCTCTGTGCCATCACGCGAGAATCGCGCGAGCAAAGAGTCTCCCAATTGATAAAATCACTGCATTATCTGCTTCACTTCGTCGCTCCTTCCATGAAAGCAATGCTAGTTCCCCAGTGTCACCACCTCCACCGCGCGCCATTCCCGTTCCCGCCACAAACCCTAGCTCCTCCCCGTCCGCCATTCCCCGCACCTCCACTCTTCGGGAACCCTCGAGCTCCCACCAGCCTCCTCCCTCGACTCGCCGCCCCCCGGAACGAGGCCGTCCCTCAATCCGCCATCCAGCGCATCGCCGAGAAGCTCCGCAGCCTCGGCTTCAAGGAAGATGACGACGGCGGAGGCGGAGGCGGAGGCGATGATGGGTCGGTGCCGAAATCCCCGCCCGGCTCTGCCGGCGAGATCTTCGTCCCCTTGCCGAGGCGGCTGCCCAAGTACCGCGTCGGCCACACGATCGACACGAGCTGGAGCACGCCCGAGAACCCCGTCCCCGAGCCCGGCTCGGGCGGCTTCGTGGAGAGGTACGGCGAGCTGAGGCGGAAGGTGAGGAAGGAGAGGGAACTGGAGAGGGAGAGGAGGAGGAGGGAAGAGAAGGCGGCCGCGGCGCCCACGCTGGCGGAGCTGAGGCTGTCGGAGGAGGAGCTGAGGAGGTTGAGCGGGATTGGGGTGAAGTTGAAGAAGAGGTTGAAGATTGGGAAGGCGGGGATCACGGAGGGGATTGTGAATGGGATTCACGAGAGGTGGAGGAGGGAGGAGGTGGTTAAGATCGCGTGCGAGGACTTGTGTAGGATGAACATGAAGAGGACGCATGATCTTTTGGAGGTATGATTAGTTTTGGGTGTTCTTCTTTGTCGGAATTGTTGATTGGAATTGTTCTTGTGGCATAGTTGGGTAACCTGTTTGAGGCAATGAGCTTAGCTACATGGGTATTTAGTGTTGCAAGAGTAAGTCTCTTGATCAAATATAATTTCATAATGAAATGGAAAAGATTTGGGTGGCTATCTGCAGAGTAGAAATCGTGTTGTTTATCAATTGCGGTAGAGGGTCATCTTTGACAAGAGAATCGAACCAATCCAATAAACCGCTTGCCATTATGCCCTTCGTAAGCTTGCGAAACAGATGTTGGATTGTGCTTCTTTTAGAATGCGTTGGACATTTTGATCCAATCACAATATAAATTTCCACTTTAGTGCTGCATTTCTTCCTCCAGATTCAGCAGTCTGATAGTTTTTTACAACCTTGACATCTTCAGAGGAAAACTGGGGGTCTGGTAGTTTGGAGATCTGGCGGTAACATAGTTTTGTATAGAGGGGCTGATTACAAGTATCCTTACTTCCTGGCTGATGATAGCCTAGCAAGTGGCCCCAGCACGCCGATAGACGATGGACAAGAGAGCTGCCCACCTGGCAATGATGGGGTAGAAGCTGCTCGACTAAGTCCTGTGAATGAAGCTGGTCATCCGACGTTGATACATGGTGTGGGTTCTCCTGATAAAGTACGTTTCCAGTTGCCAGGTGAGCTAGAACTTGCTGAAGAAGCTGAGCAATTGTTAGATGGACTGGGTCCACGATTTGCAGATTGGTGGGGATATGAACCTCTACCTGTGGATGCGGATCTTCTGCCTGCTGTTGTTCCTGGCTACAGAAGGCCCTTCCGCCTCCTTCCTTATGGAGTCAACCCTAAACTGACAAATGATGAGATGACCATATTAAGGAGACTCAGTAGACCATTGCCATGCCAGTTTGCATTGGGTAAGCTTTTGATTTTGATCCAACAGCTGACGTGACTGTCTAGTATTCACCGGCTTGTTGTGCATTTGACAGGTAGAAATAGGAAGCTCCAAGGATTAGCTGCTTCCATCATTAAGTTGTGGGAAAAATGTGAGATTGCAAAGATTGCTGTGAAGAGAGGAGTACAAAACACAAATAGCGAGATGATGGCAGAAGAATTGAGGGTCAGACCTCCATAAACATATCTTATGGAATTTCACTTTTTTTTCCCTTCTAAGTGAAAGAATTAGGGTGCAGAGATCTCTTTTACCTTGATGAAGGAATATGAAGATACTTATTAGAGCAAATTTTATGCGCTTCTTTTTCCCCAATTAACTGATTTCATTTAGACTATCTCTAAGCTGTTGTTGGACTCATTCAATAGAAAGTATTCTTTCACTTGTCGAGTCCAAAAAGTAGTTGATATCTTATTAGTGCTCCATGTTAGCAGCTCTGGGGATTTCCCCTTGAAAATTTTTTGTTTGTTGCATCTGTTCCATGACCAGAGCGTGCATCTATTAACTCAAGATCTCTTATTCCAGCGGCTAACTGGAGGGATGCTGCTTTCTCGGGATAGGGAATTTATTGTCTTGTACAGAGGGAAGGATTACTTGCCTCCTGCTGTTTCATCTGCAATACAAGAGCGAAGGAAAGGTGGAATAGGAATGGAGAAAGGAGCTGAATTTCGACATGGATTGACCTTGTCTGCGTCTGGAGATGAAAATGCTGACATTGATAAGCAAAGAAGGATTCCTCCCTCTGAAGAAAAGAAGCCTGTTTCAGTTGAGGGAGTTATTAGGACGACTGGCATGAAGTTGTCCCTGGTATTTCCTTTTTAACTTCTGTGTGTGAGTCTGCAGTGACTTCAGTATCTGTCTGCCTAGAGGCTTATCATTTTCAACGATAGGCTTTAGAGAAGAAAGCCAAGGCGGAGAAACTTCTAGCTGAGCTTGAGAATGCTGAGATCCCTGAACAACCTGATGTGGATAAAGAGGGCATAACACAAGAAGAAAGGTACATGCTAAGGAAGGTTGGCTTGAGAATGAAGCCTTTCTTACTTTTGGGTGCGTTCTACAACTTGCCTCGTCTTGTCTTGTCTCTCTAGCATGTGGTTTTGCTCTCTCATGAGAATTAAAATTGTTCATCTTTTCTTTAATCTACACTTTAAATGGAATGGATTTCACATGCCATGACTTTTTTTGTGTCCAGGTAGACGGGGCGTTTATGCCGGGACAGTTGAAAACATGCATCTTCACTGGAAATATAGGGAACTTATTAAAATAATTTGCAAAGAGAAAACGATTGAATCTGTTCATCAAATAGCCCAGACCTTAGAGGCAGAAAGTGGTGGGATATTGGTAGCAGTAGAGAGAGTGAGTAAAGGATACGCCATCATTGTATATCGTGGAAAAAATTATGAACGACCAGCTTGTATAAGGCCACGCACACTTCTAAATAAAAAAGCAGCCATGAAACGTTCCTTAGAGGCTCAACGCCGCAAGGTAAAGCTAACATCTCTCTCTTTGCAATCATGTAAATGCCTGAAGTTGCAAAATATTATCCAGAGCCTCTTTATCTCCTTGGCTTGTTCTTCCGTTTTTTTACTGTCTTTTGAAATCATGTTATATATGAAAATCTTACTTATTTACTATTCTTGTTATGCAGTCTTTGAAACTTCATGTGTTGAAGCTTTCTGAAAATATAGATCAGCTGAAACATCAGTTGGTGGGTGATACTATTTCCCTTCTCTCAATCAGGTTAACAATATCGAGTTATAAGATAAGATGTTTTGTTTGCCAGGATAGAGACATGGAAAGGAGTGACGAGCATTCATTGGACGGATTGATTTCTCCACTGGTAAGCACATCAGTTTCTTTTTCCTTGTCATGTTGATAGTATATCGTTTGTCATACCACATTCATTTCTGTTGTATTCAGGTCACAGGGGAAATAACCCCTATGAAATCACTAGATTCTTCGAGCTCAGATGGTGCACTTGACCTAGCATGCAACTCTCTTCCTGGAGTTTCTGTTTCTCACAAGGAGCATGTTGAGGTACTTTTTGCACCCATAAATTGCTTGAAAGTGTCTGCTTCTTTTTTATGTCATGCAATGTTACTATGTTACCTTCTGAGATTAGAGTTGAAATGTGTAACGAATGAAAGTAAACCCTTTGATTAGATTCTGCTGTTCTAGTGTTGCTGGTATTACTGGTCTGGGGTCATAGGACCTAGAATTGAATCTTGGAACTCCATCCATCTAATGTATGGATTCCTGATAACTGAAGAAACCATTTAAAATGCAAGGATACTTATGCTTTGTTTGGAAGATTTTTTTTCTTGGGGCGACAAAGGTGGGGGTTACACAATGTCGAGGAGAATTTGAAATTTCTCTCACAAAAATTGTAAAATTTGGTCCCGACTTTTTACCTTGCCTCTCATTTTCTCCCCTTCCCCATCTTCGAAACAAAGTTTAAAAGCCAAATAACGCAGACTTCTGTTTTGAAATTTACATTCTTAAAAGTTGTGTCAGGCTGTTATTCACCATAATTATGGTGTTTTTGGATGTTCCTCTGAACTGTCAGAAAATGAATAGTGATCTGCATCAGAAAATAGAAAAGCAGCATGTTTAACTTCTTTGCCCTTTCAGTTTGATAGTCTATTTTCTATCTTAATGGGCCACGTTAATATCAAGCTTCAAGTCTGATAGAAGCAATCGTGTGATGAAATCTGGTGAACTTGTAGGAAATAATATGGGTCAAGATGGATTCGGGATGTGTTTTGCACAATGAAGGCCTTTATCGGCCTCCTTTTTTGTTGAGGAAATTGCAGTCAACCTTTGTGTCATCATAATCTTGTAACAAAACACAACGAGAAGTTAGTTTGTTAACTTTAGTGGATCTCATTGTTGAGGGGATACTTATAGAGATGCCATGTGAAAATTTTGTGTCAGGCTAGAGATAATCAAGGAAATGATTCAACTTCCGTGAGCACTAGCAACGGGGCGGATGCTTCATTGCTCGAAATACCATCTAGACAGGAGGATGAGCTGACTGGATTCTCAGTAAACAATGGATATGGGGATTCTGGGAATATCAAACCTGAGATGTTGGATAGATCAGCAAATGGAGATTCTCTGCGGAGTGTTTCTATGCAAAGATACAATGAAGGTGACTCAGGGACCAGCGAAAAGTTAATGGTTAACTTTTGCAATGTTTGTCTATTCTTACCTCATCTGTTTACTTGCTGATCTGATATAGGCCGTGGATCTCAGTCAAAGCAAAGAATACCTATCCATGTTGATTCTGAGCATTATGTCTCCGATACTGAGACAGTGGAATTATCCAAGACATCTGTTCAAATGGGTGATAGTATACCAGAAACATCAGTTGAGATGCCTACGAGTCAGATAAATCTTTCCAACAAGGAGAGGCTTCTTCTACGTAAGCAAGCCCTCAGGATGAGAAAACGTCCAGTGCTGGCAGTAGGTATAATACTTGGCATTCTTGTAGAAATTTAACTAAATGGTTTTCATGTCGGGTATGTTTCTATTGCAGTTGTTATCATCTTACATCTTGATAATCAAGTTAAGAAAGTGTGTTACTTCTGCTTTTAAGTATTTTACTACTTGTCCTTCTAGCTTCCCAACTGTTTGGAAGCGTGGTTCTTTCTGATGGTTATATGCACAGCACATGGTGTGTCACATGCATGTAATATAAAAACAAACAATTAAGGAGTTTTTGTATTTTAGGATGTATAGTTGTAATTTCTTTCAAATTAGGCAACAGCTGATAGTATTTAGCTCCATGTTGTCAAACCTGATGGAGTGTCTTCTTTTTTCTGTTTCCCGAATTTGTTTAGTATCTAACATTGCTGTCATTTTTTAGGGAGAAGCAACATTGTGAGCGGCGTAGCCAAAACAATTAAGACACATTTTCAGAAGCACCCTCTTGCTATAGTTAATGTAAAGGGCAGAGCTAAAGGGACATCAATCCAGGAGCTGGTTTTCAAGCTGGAGGTCTGCGGAGCAAATACTTTTTTTTTTTTTGGCAATCTGCAGAGCAAGCCCTTTGATCTCCCTTTTTGTCTGATCTTAGACTTAGCTTATAATCAAGTCACTCACTCCCTATTGCTTTCATGTGTTATTACAGCAAGCAACAGGCGCCGTTCTCGTCTCTCAGGAGCCAAATAAGGTCATACTTTATCGTGGTTGGGGGGCAGATGTGGAATCGAGCTTTTCTCACGACAAAGGGAGGGAGGCAAGTAAATTTTCGGAGAAGTCAGGACAAGCTCACCCTCTTGTGTCCCCTGAGCTTATGGCAGCCATTCAACTTGAATGTGGATTGCTGTCCAACCACGAGGAAAGGGCAACTCTGTAGAGTGAAACTTATGTTGAAGGCATTTCCATTGTCTATTATGTCCGATCAATGGCATTTTACAGCGAATTAGCCGAGAGTTGGCTCATCCTCCATCAGGTAGCAGAGCTGAAATTTTGGGGAATCGGATGGATCTTCAAGAAAATCTTATTTAGTGATTCAATCTGTGGGAATTTACCAACTAGGTATATCGTGCAAATTGATGATCCCTAGGTGCAGTCACATTGCTAATGCATGTTTGCTGACCTTAACCATGCGCGATTTATCGCACCGTTCTACACTTCCCTCTGATAGAAAGGTTGACCGAGTGAGTGCCCAAATGCCAGAATCACACAAGTTACTGAGGTTTTCTTGGTCTTCCATCTACATGTGATTGCTCCAAATTTCCAAGCCAAGCTAAGAGAAGCAAATGATCCAACTGTCTGTTTCGCTGCTTATGTTGGTGATGGCAAGTATCAAGCAGGGTCAAGCTGGTTCTGGTTTTGCTTCGCATGTGAACGTAAGCAGGGCGATTTAGTTGCTAATGTAGTTTATTTTTACTATTTGTATACCATTTGGTAACTACTCGGTCGTTCCTCTCTACCCTTTTACTTGTAAATGAAAAAAAGCATTGTTCGTAATATCACTAGTCAATCGCCATCGAGTTTGCAACTCTCTCTCTCTCTCTCTCTCTCTCTCTCTCTCTCTCTCTCTCTCTCTCTCTCTCTCTAAGAAAATAGGATCGTTCATGATGTCTTAAATGCTTACTCAATTACATTCCATTATTCCTTGCATTTCTTCTCCATCCTTATGAAATCTGTCTTTATCAAGAATCAAAATACGTTCGAGTTTGGGAGCGCTGCCTGCAACCATAATATTCAGGGTGGTCAATATCACATAAAACTCTAAACTGATACAATTGTAACAAATTTATCTTAAATTAATTTTTTTACCACAAAAAATCACAAATAGGTACAATTGTTATAAATTTATCCTTCGTTAGTTTCCGTTAAATTGGATTAATACCACGAAAAATCACAAAACGATACACCTTTAACAAACGGAGGTAAAACCCCAAATTAGTAAACCCGTCAATTGCCACATGTCATTCAACTCGGCAATCTAACGGTAAAATTTAACGGGGATTAACATAGGGTAAATTAGTCACGGGTGTACTGGTTTGACTTTTTTGTGGTTAAAAAATTAGTTTGGGGTAAATTTGTTACATATGTACCAATTTGAGATTTTGCATAATATTAGCCATAATATTAACTTGAGCACTTTGATGTATAAAGACGTAAAATATTTTTCGAGATAATACACGTAGTTTACATTAGAATTTTAGGCTGCGAATGATAACCATTCTGTTTCTTTGTATTTCTATTTTTCTGTTCTTGGGAATAGATTTAGAACAGAAATATCTTTGGTAACGTAATTTCACTATTTCTAGAACAAATTTTGATTTCAAAAATAAGTTTGGAACAGGAATGAGAAGTAAAAATTTTTAACTTTTCTATTTTTGGAACAAAAATGAGAAATAAAAATTTTTCTCATCGCTTTTTCTCGCTACTGGTCGGTTGCCCACTTGCTTGCTGCCGCTCACTTGCCATCCGCCGGCCGCCATGGGCCACCTCCTACCACTGGCTGCCGACTCCCGCCACTACCCTCCTCTCATCACCACCTCCCTCCCGTCGTCGCCCACCTACCGTTCGCCACCTCCCGCCATCCGTCGGCCGTCATCCCTCACTGTCAACTGCCATGGGCCGTCATTGCTGGCCGCCTCCCGCCGCTGCCCACTTGCTGTTCGTTGCCTCCCGCCATCCGTCGGCTGTCGTCCCCCGCCGCGACCGCCGTGGGCAACCGCCCATCTCCCGCCGCCGTCCCATGCTGTTCGTTGCCTCCCGCCATCTGCTTGCCATTGTCTCCTGTCGCCGACCGCCATGGGCCGCCTCCCACCGCCGCCCCCTATCGTTCGCTGCCTCCTACCATCCGCTGGCCATTTTCCCCCGCCACCGATAGCCGTGGGCCGCTGCCGCCCTTCTCCTGCCGCCGCCCTTCTCCTGCCACTGCCCACCTCCCGTCGCCGCTCGCCTGTCATTCACTACCTCCAGCCATCCGCCGGCCGTCGTCCACCGCTGCCGACCGCCGTGGGCTACCGCTCGCCCCCCTCCCACTACCGGCCACCACCTCCTGCCGCCGCCCTCCTGCCGCCACGCTCCTCTCACCACCGCCCGCCTCCCGCCATCGATCGTCGCTTGCCTCTCGTCATTGTCGACGCTGACCACCTCTTGCCACCGTCCTCCGCATTGGCCGCGCCACCGTCCGCCGCCACTTCCCGTCGTCCACCGCCCACCAGCCAGTCGCCCAAGAGAGAAATTTTATGCCGTTATCAAATAGATTTTTGTTTTGGGAACATAAATTTTGTATCGTTATCAAACGCGTATTTTTGTTTAGAAACTCATATATGGAATAGAAATGGAAAATTCTATTTTTGGCAAGAAATTAATTTCTGAAACAGAATGGTTGTCATTCGCCTCCTTAATGTCTAGAACCAGAACATGCGATTTATCCTAACTCCTACAAAGAATTTATTAAAGATAATATAATCTTCCTAATCTTGGTATATATTGATTATAGATATGCAATTTTGTATCTGGAAACCCATCCTTTCATTTCTTGGAACCTCTCCAAACGCTGCAAAGTTTTGTTTCATGGTGGTAGGAAAATCCTATGCCTTTTTCGATCGGATAAATATGTTTTTTTTTCATCACGCAACGCGTTTTTTTTAGCATTGAATATTGGAAATGCGAACAACCAAAATAATATTATAATCAGGTACAACAATAGCTCAACAAATATAAACAATATGTGATGACTTAAATGAGTTTTTAATAGAGAATGCGATAGGTATAAAACCGGAATAATGACTTTTTTTCTTTTTTTTTTTGGTCGAAGAATAACGACTTTGTACAGTGATGACTTTGTACAGTTACGTGATGACTTAGATGAGTTTTTAATGACTTTGTACAGTGTGCTTGAAGCATGGTTTGACATCTTGGTTTGACAGGAGTTATCATATGTTACAAAAGCTACGAATTAATCTAAAATGCAAAGCTTTATCAGTCAAACAACGCTGCGAGCTTGAAATTTCGATGGAAACTTGCGTCGCGACAGAACGAACTTCTAGATTATAACCCTAGTTGAATATAAATTCACAGACATGCTTAAGCAACACCAAAAGATAACGAACCCAAAACATGTCAAAGTTGCGAAAGATTCATATGGTATCAGATGTTCTGTTCGAGCTTATTTATGTGGCATGATCGGTTCGTATTTTCATGCATGAAAATACGATATTATGTCATAACAAGGATAATTATGTTAGAAATGTAGAACAAAACACTGAAACCTGTTCATCCTTGCAAGAAGTATGTATGACCACAAATGAGAAATTTCATAACCTTGAGGAAATTATCTAGTACCGCAGGAAAGCCATGAATTTTAGCAAATGAGATTAGTCTGTAAAAGTCAAAAAATGAGGGAGGAAAAGGGGGGAGGAAGCAAAAACCAAAAAGAAAAGGAGCAAAAATATCTTATCACACGCATGCTGATCCAGCCGCTTTTGCTTCTTTTGTCACACGTTCGCAACCTGCAAGAACACTCTCACTGATCTGAACACTCTCTCTCTCTCTCTCCCTCTCTCTCCAGGGAGAGAGAGGGAGGAGGCACAAAGAACGAAGCGTGAATGTTTGCATCATCCTCACTTTCAACGCCCCGGAAAGGGAGAAAGAAAGAGAGAAACTCGAAAAGAGGAGCAATCATCATCATGATGCCCACGAGCACGACCTGCATAACTTTCTCCGTCGCCATGATTGCTCCCACCCTTCCTTTATTCTCTTCAACCATTGCCCACTGCCCGCATCACCATCATCATTGCCTTCCAACGAAACACAGCTCCAACCAGCCACAAGAACGAGTGTAGGGATCATGAGCTGAAGACAAAAGCATCCTCCTCGATCAAGCCTCTCGCGTGATATATGAGTGAATCTCTCTCTCTCTCTGTGAAGCTTTCTGATCTTCTTGTTCTTGGGTTTGTTTTTCTCCTCCTTCTTCTCTTTGGGGAATCAAGCATCTTGGTCCGATGATTTGCTAGATCCAGAAAAATTCTGCTCAGCGTTTGTTGTGCTGTGGGTTTTATTCATTATCAGCTCTATGTGTGCTTTTACTTTGTTTTCCTGTATGAGTGAGCTATTCACTGTCTTTATTACCAGGTTACAAGCACAGACATGCATCTGTACCCCTGTCTAGTACTACATATCTTGATTAGGGTTTCTGATTTGTGGGGTTTGCTTATAGATCTGTAAGAATGCTTCTCTAGTAAAAACAACTACATCTTGTTTCTCCTTTCTTTCATAGATACATTCCTATGTTGTCAGATCTTGTGAAACACTGTTTTTCTTTTACTTGATGAGCAGTTCTTTCTATCATCTGTGTCCTCTGATAATGAACAAACCTGGGTTTTTGCCAAATTATCTAGTGATCATGACTGATGATGATTCATTTCTCAGTCAGAAAAATAAGGAAAAAAAAACCCTAATTACACGATCTGGAATGGAGGAGGGTTCGGATTCATGTCGCGGTGGCTGTTGGTCTTTTTTCTTGGTGCTGCTCATTCATCATTGTTTTCACACATGACCTGCTTTTCTGCTTTTACTGAATCTGCTGTTATAATTTCTTCTGCAAAAGTATGGTTTAGATATAATATATTGTTCACCTATATAGCCTCGGTAGAAGGATGATGAAGCAGAACCTACTTCTCCCTCTTCTAATTGATATGGTAGAGATTATTGCCCCCAATCAAGTATTGCAAGACAGTTCCTGAGACTAACAGAACAAGAGTTTCAAAATGGCTTTCTATAAGGGTAAATTCAAAAAAGTCAAGACCCAAAACTTCATGATTAGTTTCTTCTTGTTTGATGATTAAGGAAGGAAAAAGTGTTTTCCTGCTTACCAGAAAGCTAAGTCATTTTCTCCTGCTTTAAATTTGTATATTTTCAATTCACAGAAAATGCTTTTCGTAGATTGATTAGTTCTTCGTCGTCAAAACACTGGAAAGTCGAAAAATTGGAAACACTTTCCTTTCAAACAAACGAACCCTAGTACGATTTCTTCCCTTTATTATTTGTCTTATGAATTGTCCAATCTTTTGTATTTTACAAGACCTAATTAATGATTTACTAATATATCACGTTAATACGTCACGTCTATCTTGTTAGTCGTCCTCCACCTTCAATTGTTTTCAATGAACCCCATCATCTCATGCTAGAGGAATCGTGTGTCTTTTACACGATTTATGAAAGCTCTTTGTCAATTTCGGGTCTTTTCATGATATGTGTAACGTATCAGCACAATCTTATGGCCTTTTGGAAGAAAAAAGAATTGATTGGGGTAAAGCCCAAAAAAGTCTTGAGACAGCAAACCCCACCATTCCGCCTCCCATCACGGCGGATTTGGATTTGGATTTGACAAGTTAATCGCAATTACATGCACAAAACAACAACGTTGTATTGTTTCGTTAGGATCGTTCTCGAAAAAGCAATTTGCAATCGAAAGCTCAGTCTGTTTTGTCTTAATCGATGTCGGACGTGCAGAATCTTTCTTGAGAATTCCACGCATCTGTGTGCGTTTCGAATTTGAGTTATGATTATGCAAATATCATATGAATAATGATCGACACGAAATAATACGAGTACGATGACGCGACATGAATTGCCGGAGCGCACCGGGCTCGGCTCGGGCCTCGAATGAGGACGAACATACACAGAGATTTTGTACAGGGCCGGCGAGAGGACCGTCGATGTCGGGCCGAAAAGCCCAGATCGATGTGAACCATGAAATCTCGAAGCTTAATACAAAAAAAAAAAAAAATTGAAGAAAAAGAAGAAGAAAATTTAGAAAAATTCGATCAGCAGGATTTGATGGTCGGAGTGCTCGGCGGCGACGATGATCCCCGCTCCTTCTTCCCGCACTCCTTCGCGCCCCCGCCCCTCGAGGCCATCGCCGCCATGAACTTCTCGTTCCACCGCCCTCCCCCCGCCGCCGCCGCCGCCGCCCGCGCCCCGCAGGCGTGGTCGGCCGGGAACCGGTGCCTGAGGCACACCCTGAGCCCGCACGCCTTGCACGTGCTGGCGTTGGAGAACGTCAGCACCTCCCTGCACCGGCGGACGGGGCAACCGGGCTTCTTCTCCTTCCTCCCCGGGTCGCAGCCCCCGGAGCCCGCGTGCCGCTCCAGGACCGCCCCCTCGTCCTCCCCGGTGGCCTCGATCGACGCCGAGCAGGCCTCGCAGACGACGACGCGGCGGCTCCGGCGGTCCGATTCCGGGCACTCGTGGGACCTGTACGACCTGTGCTCCGCGCAAAACACCTGCCACGTGAATCGGTCCAAAACCCAGCGTCAATCCCCCAATTCAACATCGACAAAAGAAAAGAAAAAAAGACGAAATCTTTTGGCGATCGGGAGAAGGCGGGGACGGGAAATGTGACCTTGCGGCAGCCATCGCAGGTGAAGGGGAGGAAATCGAGGAGGTGGCAATCCGGGTTCTGGCAATGCATCCCCAGATCGGGAAAAGCCTCCGTCCCTCCTCCCATCTCTCTTGCTCCCGGACAAATTGGGTCTTCGGGCCTGATCGGAAACTGCTGAATTTCGAAGGGTTGGATTCGGATTCGGATTCGGAATCGGAATCGGAGTTGGAGATGGAGAGGATTGCTCCGGGTTTGGGTCGAGTATTTGAAGGGAAGGGAGGTGGTGGTGGTGGTGGTGGTGGGTCGGTCGGAGCTGGCTTGGGGCGGAAGGCAAAGAAGGAAGCGAAGACGCTCTTGACTTGCGCCGCGGGAAATCTCCTCCGCTTCTTCTCTTCGCCCTTCCCGCCCTTCGGCTCTTCCTCCGGATGTTTCCAGACCCTACGCGTGGAGGCTCTTCGCGAAACGTCACGCTTGATCTCGCACCGCCCAATCAATCTGCCACGTCAACCGTCGTTGGTCTCCTCTGACAAAAAAAAAAAAACCCAGCTGTTCGTACCGATTCCCTATGCGGTTTCGTCAGACGATTTTTTTTTTAAATCAAAATATTATCGTTTTTATTTCACTGAAGTTACTTGTGCCTTTTGTCGACATCGTTCGCTCTCGAGCATTTATATAGGCAGATTTTATCGATAGAACTTTGATGAAAGATAAACGTATTAAACATATACAACTTTGAGATTGTTGGTATTATAATAAAAAGTTTAGAGTAAATGTGTTGTATAAAAATTAATATTCGATTTAATCACGTGGGTACAACTTTATAATATCATTCGAGCTGAAATTCCCTGACAAAAGAAAGGGGGGAAAAAGAAGAGGCAAAAAGACAAAAGGCGGAGGAAAAGAGCGGCTTTCATCATGTTAGGCCCAGTACGGAATCCAATACTCCGCTCCACTGTTCAGGAATGAAAAAGGGGAGCCTCACTTGCAAAAATACGTAGGTCTACGGACGATATACGATCTCGTATACGTGAATGATTTGGCTTGTTACGATGGGTATAGTTCATACATGTCTCGTCTAGTTGAAGAATAAATATTATTTGCCTCGATCCAACGATAAATCGACAATTCTTATATTTGAATGATCGTGATGCATAACTAAGATAACAATCATTGTTTATATATTACCAATTAGTAGAGGACGCATCTGATGTTCCGCGTACTGAAAAAAAAGGTATCCGGTTTGGTGTTGGGAACTCTAGCAAATAGTATTGGCAAGTTTTCAAATAACGTCGGTAATAAAAGAGAGAGCAGCAATTTGCTAAACCCATCGTTCGTTAGTAACTTGCCTACAAGCTTCGCGATGGACCAACATTTATTCATACTTCAAAATTACCAACTATTTTAATAAATGTACCGACATTTTATTTTTATTACTTACCGAGTCGTGAGAGTTATTTACTTTTGCTAGAAACTAGCAATCTTAATTTGTCTGGTGTAATAGCATTCGTCAAGTTTTGATACCAACTAGTTTCGGTCACTTACCAACATCTTATCTTGCTTGGTTTTGAAAAGTACCGACGTTTGTTTATACTCCCAAAATTATCAACTATTTTAATAATGTGGCAACATTTATGCATTCAGCTTACCAATGCTTTTGAAGTTATTAAATTTTATTCGAAATTACCAACTATAATTTGATTGGTGTACCGATATTCCCCATATTAAGTATTTGTACTTACGAAAATCCGTTCGTAAGTTATTAACACGTGGCCGGATCAAAAAGTTGCCGATCCCCTCTTTGTTACCAACCCACTATTTGACTGTTACCAACAAACTCCTCGGTGTTTCTCCATGGAATTGAGTTCCGAATTTTTCCATACAGATTTCTATCGACGCGTTTCTGTAAATGATCACAGCTATCCCTTTTCGACATGAAACTTGGATGGGTGGAGCTCACAAAGCGTGTGTACGATTCGACTCGACCCAAGTAGTGCTTGAGCCTCGAAGCTTAATTTGGTCAAATCCCTAAGAAAAAAGCTTCGTTTCAAATCACAATTGATCTATCTATCTATTCTACCGAGTTTCGGGACGCCCACCACAATGGGTGGGGAAAGTGGAAAAGCCAAACAGTTCATTGCACAAAAAGTCAGTGTTACAAAGCGTATGATGGGAAACAAATAGCAAGAACATGCCCATTTGTAAAGCTGGGGAAGCAATAAAAGATGGCCATGCACATAAACAAACAATTATATTAAAATAATAATAATAATAATTAAATGAAAAATATATAATTAAGCCAAGATTTCTAGGAGGAAAAAATAAAAAATCCAAATTATTGAATGCCACCAAAAAATCAAGACCTTTTCCCGAATATGCTATTGCCTTTTCAACTTCAAATTAGAAAAAAAAAACAGAGGTATATGGCTTAAAGCTAAAGGGTCCTGATTCTCAACATGGGTCTAATTGATTTGAAAAGTCTTTGATAATAATGTGCGACCCATCATGCAAGATTTCTCTTTTTTTCTTAAGGCCTTTTTGACTCTTAGTTCATAGATGGTTTTGTTTATTAATCAGGATTAGTAATTTCAAAGGGAATCATCCGAATAAGTCAAGACATCTAGAGACCACAAGCACCACGAGCCTACCAAAAGTGAAGGAAAAAAAATCTTAGTTGAAGCTAAATTAATCACCAAGTAAGTATAGTAGTAAAATTTTAATTATAAGGACCATGGCCACATCACGGCGATAACCCGTTTTTCTTTTTTTTCCGAACAGCGTGCGGCGATACTAGTTATGCTCTACGGTGCAAATACGATGGAAATACTCATCGGCGCGCCCTGGGAATAAGTAAAAGAGAAATTTGTCCATTCAAATACTTAGGTCTCACCCCCAAAAAAATGGAGGAATTCTTGGGATCTAAATGTACGTGCCTGTGCTTTGGTTGGTCAAAGAACAAGCGACCTTTTTCCTGAATTCAAGATATGGAAAAAGGGTGAGTTCACAGTTTCAGCCAACCCCCAAATCTCCCAAAAGAAATATTAAAAAAACAAAAAATTCAGGGTTCGCTAGTAGAAGGCATTACACGAGAGGGAATCACTTTTTGGGAAAATGGGGAAAAAGAAAAGAAAAGGAAGAAATTGTCCAGCCTAGAACACCCAAAAGGCCAATATGAACACCAAAGGGTGCTTCAATTCAAACCCTTAGCAATTACGTAAGCCATTGGGCAAAAATAATGGAACTTTTAAGTGGTATTCTTAACGACTTAGCTGTCTCCCTCCATCTAAAGTAGCTACACCCATTACACAATCCATTAAAAAAAAAAACATTAATGTCAAAGCGAAGAAAAGAAGCAAAATCAACTTTTACTCCTCTTTTTTCTTTCAACCCTTTTGGCTCTAGCAATCAGCAAGGGCCTGAGAATGGCAAACTAGGGAAGTTCCTTTCATGTAGACCATGCAACAATAGGCGACCCACAAGAGAAAAATTTGGTCATTTTTCTCTTGATTTGAAAGGGATTTCTCTACTCATTTTGACACTTTCCTTCTTCTTGTTTCTTGCTTATAAATTAGGCACGCTTTTCTTGGATGTGAACGCTCGATACAAAGGCGCGACTAAAAAAACACTTGATGCAAAGGTGAGGACAACCTATGTAGGTAGTAGTATCTTGATTCCATGCACAACATCTAATTCCTTGTTACGGAGTACCGATTGAAGTAGGACCAATGCATTTTAACAGCTAGCATTTTCTTTAGCAGATTGACAAAATACCAATATCTGTCTCTTGGCACTTGCGCTCGAGCGACGCTACAATTCGGAGCTCGCTAGCTTTGAATTCTTACAATCACGTTTAGAGGAGGGAAATTGAGTAAACCCCTCTTGATATCTCGAGAAAATGAACGTAGCCCTTTCTCGCACTTCCGATCCATCGGCAAACATAGCAAAAGTCTTTACCGAAGCGAAATTCGCACGGGACGCGTAAAATTATCAAAGCCGCCGTGGTCGCGAGCCCGAGGAAAAGCCAAATTTCAATGATTAGTAATTTTGAAACATCTCATCAAACTAATTAATTATGTTCGGGTGCATAAGCGTTCTTTTGAGCTGACTCCATGTCGAAAACGACCACGCGAAGAACAGCTGACTGAGAGAGAGACCCAGTCAGTCAGTCAGTCAGCAGCTAAAATCTGCAGAGCCTTCTTTGCACAAGATGCATTGCAGTTCCTCCTTTTCTTGAGCGAGATTTAGATCAATTCGACATCACCATCATCATTATCATCCACTGCAAAAAATCTCTGTCTCTGTCTCTCCAGCTCCAGCTTGGGGAGTTGGTTCCATTTTTCCGCAAGCAATGGAATAAAGATCTCACCTTGTCCCACATCAGCAGATCGCCTCCTCTCTCTCTCTCTCTCTCTCTCTCTCTCTCCAAACTGAGACTCGGTCTTCTCCTCTGTTTCAGTGTGTTTCAGTAACATTGCCGCAACGATCTCTTGCCCCTACTGAATCTCGGCACCAAACCCAACCGATTCCCCCATATATCTGCCAGCCCAAATCATCCGGATTCGAATCGTGACGCAGCTTCTTCACCGATGCTCCTTCGATTCCACCGTCAGGATTCGTATACGTTGGTGAAGCTGAAGAGTGTCCTCGCTCGTCGGTGACGAGAAACAGAGCCCGCGGAAAATGGAGTTCCAAGAAGCCGTCATGAAGCTGACCACCCGCAAGCCCAAGGAACGAAACGGCGGCGGCGGCCCCAAGCTCAACAGGTGGGCCATCGTCTCGTTTCGCAGGTCGCCCAAACCCAGCAAGCCGGCGAAGACCGACCCTCGTCGTCCAGAGGCCGTGCCCGACGAGTTCCTGTGCCCTGTTTCGGGGTCTCTCATGGCCGACCCGGTCATCGTCCCTTCCGGCCATTCCTTCGAGCGAACCTCCGTCGAGGCCTGCAAGTCCCTCGGCTTCGTCCCGCCGGCTCTGGCCGGCCACGTCGCCGCGCCGGATTTCTCCACGTTGATCCCCAACCACGCCCTCAAGTCCACCATTCTCAGCTTCTGCAGGAACCGCTCCCTGCCTCCTCCGGAGCCTCTCGATTTGGCCTCCGCTTGTAAGCTCGTCGCGGGTTTGATGTCCACGCGAAGCCACGAGACGGAGACGAAGCTCGCCCACGATGCGGTTGACGAACGACGGGACTCGGTTCGCGAAGAAAGAGAAACGCCAGGTGCGAAAACAGAGTCTTCTCGGAGCCATCATCAGGACCCGCCAACGGCGGCTCATTCCTATTCGAGCTCCGACGACTCGGTGGCGACAACCCCCGCCTTCGAGTCGACCCCGCCGCTCCAGCTCACGGCCCGCCCGAGCTGCTGCTGCTCGTCGTCGTGCTCCTCCTCCGAGTTCGAGCCCACGAACCCGGAGGAGGAACAGCTCCTCGCGAAGCTCAAGAGCCCGCTGGTCTTCGACGTCGAAGAGGCGGTCATGGCGCTCCGGGACGTGACGCGGACGAGCGAAGAGAGCCGAGTCTCGCTGTGCACGGCTCGCTTGCTCTCCTCCGTCAGGCCGCTCGTCGTCTCCAAGTACTGTGCCATCCAGGTCAACTCGGTGGCGTCTCTGGTCAACCTGTCCCTCGCGGCGGTCAACAAGGTGAAGATCGTGCGGTCCGGGATCGTCCCCAACCTGATCGACGTGCTCAAAGGGGGTTTCCCGGAGGCGGCGGAGCACGCCGCCGGCGCACTCTTCAGCCTAGCTCTCGACGACGGCAACAAGACGGCGATCGGCGCGCTCGGCGCTCTGCCGCCGCTCCTCCACGCCCTCCGCTCGGGGAACGAGCGGGCCCGGGGCGACTCCGCCTCGGCCCTGTACCACCTCTCGCTCGTGCAGAGCAACCGGGTCAAGCTGGTGCGGCTCGGGTCGGTCCCGGTCCTCCTGGGCATGGTCAGATCGGGCCGCCTCGCGGGCCGGGCCCTGCTCGTGCTGGTCAACTTGGGCTCGTGCGCCGACGGCCGGGCCGCGATGATGGACGCGGGCGCGGTGGAGTGTCTGGTCGGGTACCTGTCGAGGGCGGCCGACTCGGCTCGGGACAACTGCGTGACCGCGCTGTACGAGCTGAGCCAGGGCGGGCTGCGGTTCAAGGGGTTGGCGAGGGCGGCGGGGGCGGCGGAGGCGCTGGAGAAGGTGGAGAGCGGGAGCTGGAGGGCGAGGGAGATGGCGAGAAGGATGGTGGAGATGATGGCTGAGAGGACGGAGGAGATGGAAGGGGAGGATGTGGATTGGGAGAAGCTGCTGGAGGCGGGGACGCCGAGTCGGTGACTCGGCGGCGGCGGCGGCGGCGGGGCGGGCTAACTCGGTATGGACTCGGTCGAGTTGTTGATTTTCTTTTGTCAACTTTTGGAATTTTGTTTATGGGGGGTCTCTTCTTTTCTGGTCCCTTTTGAAGTGTAATTATCTGGGCAACAATATGCGGTGCGATTATGCAAATTTTTTGTTTTCATTTTTGCCGATTTGGTCTTTATTTGCGTCATTTCTATACTTTTTGTTTTCTGAAAAAGAGAGAAATGTCAAGGTGTACATGGAGGCCTTTCTAGGGAAATTGATTCCGGAAGAGAAAGAGTTGGTACGTTCTTTTTCATATCGATTCGTATCATTAAAAACTCTAAATTATGTTGATTATGACGCCAATACCCGAGACTTTCTATTTCGGTACCGAAAGTCTGAAACTATGATTGCTATCATCCTAATACGCCAAGTTCGCATTCTCCTTTTTATAAAAAATTATAAATGATGCCTATTGTGATATTAATACTTGAGATTTTTAATTTCGTTACCAAAAAAATCCTAAATTATGTTTATTGTGACACTAAATATCTCAATTTTTTTTTCGTGTCACTAATACCCAAACGAGTATCAGTATGACAAAAAAATTCCTAGCAAAGTTTAGGGTTTTTGTGATAGACATTAGACATAAAGTATTTTTATTACGTTGGTATAAGTTTGGAGTATTAATATCTTAATGGGCATAATTTATGGTTTCTTATGGTAAGAAAAATATCCCGGACATCGTGCGGGACCACAAAAGTTAGGTTAGCTGATTTATATCTAAATTCAATTCGTGACACTTGACGCAACATGTATAGATGAATATGATGTTGCCCCTCAACTTTTAACCGGCGTACAATTATTTCACCAAAGTACATCCTCCATCGCCGGAGCTCGCAACGGATGCGGCTCCGGCGTCGCCTTTTCCGACGGATCCAGCAGTTTCACCGATGACGACCGTGCCGATAGAATATTTAAACATTCCCACACGCGCAATGTTCCGGTCGAATCATTTAAGTCAATCCGTTAGCGGACTTTGGGCTAAGATTGGCGTGGTCGGTCTCGACTCATGTTTGTGGTCAGCATACGGGGGCGATGTACGAAAGTTTCAATCGTTGCAATGGACATATTATCACACGCTCGACTGTTGCACCACTCGGTGGTCATTTTCGAATGGGTTTTGACGAGAACAGCACGCAAGCCAGCGACATGGTCAAAGGTTGTCGATTCTTTATTCCGGTGGGCACATATCACCAGAAAAAAGGAGAAACTGCCTAGATTGACCTGATGTAGTAGCAAACCACCGATTTGCAAAGAGGTCAAACAATAATTGCGTCGAGGAAATGAAGAGAAGCTGCCAAGACTCGGCTCGATTTATATCGCACGAACGGTGGAAGAAGACCCGGAATTGAACGAGTCGAATGATGATCATGGGCGACCGGCCTCCTCCGCCTCTGTTCGTTCATGAACTCCCCTCATGTTTTTTTTCGATGGATGAGACGGGCTCGAACTCGATCTTCCTGACTCGAAACGATCTTTCTTGATCTGCAGATTCAGCCGCGGGCTCGATCTGGCGAACTTGGCGGTGTCGTCCGGTCTTCTTGGACGTTCGTGGGACGCGGTTTCTCAGCTTCAGGGGCAAGTCGATGCCGAGAAGCGACGCTTGTCCCCGTCGTCGTCGTCGTCGTCGTGGTGGTCCTCATCGGTGGCGTTCAAAACGTTTCAGCACCCGGAGTACACGGTCGTCGCTTTCGATGCCTCGAAGGTCGGCGCGAGCCGTCTTCGAGAACAGAGCGATTTGGTTCCCTCGTCGGAGATCCCTCGATTCCATTTCCTCTGCTCCGAGAACCTCCAGTCGTTCTCCGTGAACAGAGCGGCGGTTTCCCTGTTCGACTCTCTCTGCGACCAGCACGAACTCTCTGCCATGAGAGCTCAGGTGAACTCACCGTTCGTCTTCTTTAGTCGTTCGTTCCGCGATTGATCGAATAATTCGTCTGTCTGGTGTGGTTCCTGCGTTGACCGAATCAAACTGCCTGATTGTTCATGCGATCGTCATTTGATCATTGTTTAAACAACAAACTACAGACGGCTTCTTTCATTAGCCTTCCCCCAAGTATGAATACATCAGAAATGATCCCATGTAATTCGGTTGCGAATAATCTCATTGTCGGCGCTATCCATACTGTAGTAGTAGTGGCAGCCTTACCGTCTCGCATCATTTGATAAGGACGAGATCACGCACGATCGCAAATCCACACACCTCTCAATTAATCAATTCCGTACTTCCGAACAAGAAAAAGAAACTTCCGAGGGGTTGGATGTTAGTGTTGAAGCTGTGAATTGTTCTTAGTGCAGCAGTTTGGCATTGATGCTTTAAACATTGCTCCTGAAAAATCTGCGGTTTTGCTTGTTTTACTGCTACCGCAGATTGCAGAATCTGCCAAGTCTAGCCCGCATATTATTACCGGACACGGCCTAGCTGGATGCGTGGCCTCTCTGTTCACGTTATGGCTTCTAGACACGCTCGATGCCTCAACCACTATACGGCCGCTCTGCGTTACTTTTGGCTCGCCTCTCCTCGGCGACAATGGCTTCCAACAAGCCATATCGCAGTTCTCGGCATGGAACTCTTGCTTCTTGCACGTGGTCCATAAGGATGATTGTTTCCCTAGACTCTGGCTTCCACCTGATGGCGAGCCAAGCCTCTACGTGCCTTTCGGTGCATTCCTCCTGTGTTCTGAGTCGCGCGGTGCGTGTTTTGGAGCTCCTGAATCCGTGACGGAGCTGCTTGCAAACAGGAGCAGCACAGGGAGTGGTCGAAATCTAGAGTTGCTAGGTTTTCATTATGGTGGCGTCATCGAACGTCTTGAAGGCAGGTCCATATGCAAGGACCAAAATTTGTTGGCTTGGGACGAACCGGATTCATTTAGGGCTGGGATAATAGCTCAAGTGACGGCAATCGGCCTCACACAAGTTCAGGTAGCTCGAATTGCTTTCGGATGTTACCTTCATAGAATTGTTGATATTTCACAAACGGAAAAGATCACGTCACATTGGTCAGGTTATCTGAATTATAGTTTAAGCTATAGCCTGCAATTGCTTGGTTTAGTCCTGCTTTAAACCTCCCGAGTACTTCTATAACTCTTCTTGTGACCATCTCTTTGTTCACTGTTCCTCGTAGCTTTCACATCGGCCATGGCAGCAGAACGCTAATGCTTGGATAGAGGGGGTCTTAAGATCAGAAGAAGAATCTGTGACCCGAATCCGAGCGGCAGCAAGAAGCGAGACCTCCAGCAAAGCAAGTGACATGGAAAGGAAAAGATACATGATCAACCTCGAATGGTATAAGAAAATGACGGCGTCCGATGGTTTCGGGTATTACGACAGCTACAAGAGCAAGCCGAAGAGGCGCGATCACCTAGTCGTCACTGATAAGGAGACCCTCAAGGAATACTGGCAGCGCGTTGTCAAGGAGTCGGAGAAGAAGCCTCAGAAGGAGGGGGCATGGCTGCGGCGTGGCTGGCTCTTTGGTGGAAACACTTACCGGAGGATGGTTGAGCCGCTTGACATAGCGGAGTACTATGCGAAGGGGAAAAGAGATTACCTAACTCAAGGAAGGTCCAGGCACTACATTCTATTGGAGAAGTGGCTAAAAGAGTACCCGCAGAGGCCTGCCTCGCCTAACTCAGTCAATTCGAGACGGGAAAAAGTCTCGTCCAACATGCTAACCGAGGATTCTTGCTTCTGGGCGCATGTCGAGGAGGCAATCATCTCGGTCAGGTCGTTGAAGAGCGGAGGACCGAACGCGGCCATGGAGAGAGAGAAGTTGATCAAGTTCGAGCGGTACGTGATGAGTCTCCTCGAGAGGTACGCGGTATCATCCGAGATTTTCCTGGAGAAGAGCAGCTACATGAAATGGTGGAGAGAGTATCATGAGGAGATTCTAGGGAAGCAGATGATGGGAGCTTCCTATGACTCGCAGCTTGCTCAGTTCATGAGGAATGAGTACTATCACCATTATGCTTCAGGGTCTTTCACATTCAATTACTCATGGTGATTGACCTCGTGTCCTTTCACTTGGATGGATTTTTTAATCTTCCCTCCCTCATTTTGACCTTTTCTTTTCGGTTACTTGAAAAATTCAGAAATTATTTAATGCACTTAAGGGCCTGCCTCCCTTTTGCCCTCACTAAGCATTACCAAGGACTTCTCACATCAGTTACGAAAGCTATTAAAAAATAATCATTAGATTGATAGTAAATCAAGACCTTCTAAATGTGGAATCCATATAAGATTACTAGTTGTCAAGGGACGAGATAAAATATCTCAAAATAATAATCTTGAAAATGATGATAAGATTGTTGTCTTAGGTAGTATAAATGTTCCGCTTATATCAACATTCACCAGTTATATCCAACGTTCCAGTTATATGATGATATCAGACTTTAGACGGGCTTTTGCTTATATTCAGACTTCGCAGTACTGTATTGATATTCAGCTTACGCAAGCATCTGCTTATATCAAACTCTTGGTATATCTGGCTTTCCGGTTATATCGAAGTTCTCTCGTTATATTCGATTGTTCTTCTCGGGATACTTCAACCATGATAGTGATGTAGATCCTGTAAACTTAATACCTTGGTATTTCCAAGTCTAAATGAACTATTTATTCTTCTAGACTTGTTCATGTAGGTTTTCCCACTCATTTAAAATCTTTCCACTTATCATATCAAAGATCCTTTTAGAGCGGATATTACCCGTAACACAAACAACTCTTGCATTTATCAAGATCGATATAAAACAATGTAGTTTTGTCAACTTTAAAATGTATTAGGAGGTTTTCTCAACAATAATAAAGCAAAATAAAAGCTCAATAAGGTAGCAGCAATCTTTTTTTAATTGCTTGTTTGGTTGAAATTGCTCAATGTCAAATATAGTTTTGTGAGAGCTTCTTTTAACCGAATAAGAATTATCACTAAAAGGAACAAACAAATCAGAAATTCAGGAAGAAACAGAAAGGCCGAGGAAACATGTACTCTTCCCTTCCGCATCAAATTTCTGAACTTTGCGCCGACCAATAGTCCAATGAGCATCCGAATTAATTCAAGCAAAGCAAAATCAACACAACTAGCGAAACTGGCACAGTATTGCTCTTATGATACACTATAATTTACATTAAAATTACCCAGTTTATTCATCTGTCATGCGAATACTCGGGTGCCTGATTTATAGAGGTGATAGTCTCCGTCCTTCATGAAACGAGCGAGTTCCGAGTTGTGAGAAGCTCCCATCATTTGCTTCCCCAAGGTGTCCTCATACTCCCTCCACCATTGCATGTAGCTGCTGCTTTCCAAGAAAATATCGGGAGAAACAGCGTAGTTCTTGAGCAAACCCATGACATACTTCTCAAACTTGACCAAGTTTTCTATTTCTGCGCTGTTCGATCCTCCGCTGTTCAACAACCTGCACGATATCCGTGCCTCCTCCACATGGGCCCAGAAGCATGAATCCTCTGTGACACTGAACATGATCTTCTTCATTTTCGAATCGTTAGGAACACTATTCTTGGGCTGTTTCTGATGTTCGTCCAGCCACTGTTCCAATAGCTTGAAGTGCTTGGATCTCCCTTGGGATATGTAACTTCTTTTGCCCCATTTATAGTACTCGGCTACGTGGAGTGGCTCGACCATCCTGCGGTAATTTGTCCCTGCGAAGAGCCAGCGGATCCGCATCGGTGCTCCCTCGAACTGAGGCCTCTTCTCTGCCTCTTCCACCACAGATTGCCAGTAAATCTCGAGCTCTGTTTTGAACTTAACGACTTCATGGTCACGCCTAGCCATTTTGGTCTTGAAGCTGTCATAGTAACCAGGACCCCGGTTGTCGTCTTCGCACTTGTTCTTATACCATTCAAAATAAGCTAGGTACACTTTCATTTTGTTCAACGCCTTGGCAGGATCAATTGTCGGATTCTTTCGTTTCAGGATGTCTTGTTCAGGCATCACTATCTTCTTCCACAGAGCATCAATATCCATATTCTGCGGCTGCCATGACAACGAGAGTGCAGTAAATGAAGTTCCAACGGGTAAGCGAATGCATTCATAACAAGGGACAATTCAGGTGGGTAAATTTTTCCTGGTTAAGTATGTGAAGCTAAAAGCGGGGACACAGTTCATTTTGCTTTAAATGGCAAAGCACAATTATCTTTCTGGTTTTGACTAAAACAAGTGTGAATCCCCTTTTGAGATGTACTCACTACATGTACACTAAAGAAGGTACGACAAACAGTTACCTGAATTTGCACAAGGCCAATTGCTGCAACTTGCGCAGTTATCCCAGCTTTAAATGAATCAGCATCAGGCACACTAAATGCAGGTTGGTTCTTGCAAGTCAATCGCCCTTCGAGACATTCAATGACGCTCTTATAATTGAAAATTTGGGAATCTGCAGTGCTACCATTCCTTTCCAGGCTCATCCGGGTGAGCAACTCAATTATGGATTCAGGGGCTTCGAAACATGCACCACCCGATTCAGAACACAAAAGGAATGTACCAAAAGGCTCGTATAGACTCTGCTCCGTGGTCGACAGGAGAAAGAGTCTGGGGATACAGTCATCCATATGAGCCACATGCAAGAAGCAAGAACTCAATGTTGGATATCGCGATATGGCTTGTTGGAACCCACCGTCCCCAATGAGGGGCGAACCGAATGTGATGCAAAGCGGACGGTTTTTGGTGGCTGAATCGAGTGTGCGTAGGAGACATAGCGTGAAAAGAGAGGCAATGGATCCACCCAAACAATCTCCTGTTATAATGTGTGGAATAGACTTGGAGGAAGTTGCAACCTGCATCAAAATTGACAAACACAAAGTCTAGGAGGGCCGATCGGATTTTCTATCCCTAGTCAGTTTTGCTAACATAAACATACTCTTTCCCTTCTGATATAGTTACAAAAAACAGACGATTTAACAATAAAATAAACAAAACAAAGAAATAAATTGGACACCTAATCTATGTGGTTTGGTCGACCTACCCTACGGGGAGAGCGGCACGGGATTCCAATACAGATCAAACGATACAATAGAAATAAAAACTGCACTCGAGTCTTCTAGCGGCCAATCACACTCAAGAACTCACAATTTCTTGCGAAACAATCTACATGATTCACAAATCTTACACAAGATTTATTAGCTTCAAAACACTTATAATTGCTTCAGGATGTAATTCATGAGCATGCTGCACGAATGATTGTTACGGCCCAAAACTCCTTTATAATGGGTAAAAACCTAAAACCCACCTATTATGTATAATATTTGGATGCAAAATAGAAAACCTTTTTAGCAGATTCAAATTAGGTATCCAACTTCAATAACGATTTGTTGTTACTCCATACATTTCTATCAACCAAAAGTCCAATCAAGACTTTTCTAATTTAAATCACAAGTATTATTGGGATTCGGAATTTCTACTTAGATCGGGGACATGTTCTCAAAAATATTGTGATTTGGTCAAACAAAATCTCCAACCAGCTTTTGCTCCCCAGACTCTAGTTACGGGAGGTCAAAGGAAGGGAGTTGCCAGCTGACACTAGGATTACGGAATTCCTGACGAACCACTTCCTTATGATCTAGCTAGCTCCAATGAGCAACTTTGAGCAAGATTCAGACCCCAGGCTTCTTGAAAGCCTAATTACTTTACCAACTCAGCCACACTCCTTTGGTTCACGCACGTTGAATAACTCAACAATATTTCTAAGGGCCGGATGGGAATTATCCAAACACAGAATTTGAATTGCAGTCACATCTTGATTCGCTCGGAGCTGCATTGGTATGCTTAAGTTTAACTCAAAACAATTTATTCCTTTTTCTCTTCTCGGCTAGGAATAGGATTAAGGTTAACTCAACTGAAAAGAATGGGAAAGGCAATGGGCCATCAATGCGAGAGACTCTGTTCAGACAATCGACAGACTGCTCATCATCAACCATTTTGCCAAAAGATGCAATTCACGCTCTGAAAGAAGCAAAATGGGGGTGATCCACTTTTTCATCAAACAAAGCTAATGATGTGGGAAGAAACAACTCAAAATGGTCATCTACGAAGCAACTATCAGAGCGGACACAAGCATTCCAGGACCCACTTCGAGAAGACCTGATCCCTAGATCTGAGACCAACTCGTGCGATCTCTCACAGCGACTAACAAAAGCTCGTTGATCTTCAAAATTAGTAACTAAACCTCATAAATAACTTGAATAGAAACGAAAGGTAAAAGGGTATTACCTGAGTTTTCAGGGGAGAGAGCCTATCTTGGAGAGAGTTGAACAGAGAAATCGCAGCTTTGTTTATGGAAAAAGGCGGGTTGTCCTTGGAGCAGAGAAACTTAAACACAGCGGCCTCTGATGAAGAAGAAGGGACCAAATCGCCCTCTTCTTGGAGATAACTTGTAGCAGCTGTTGGGGTCACAAAAGCAATGATTTTGTATCCCGGGTGTTTAAACTCTCGAATTTTCACGGTTTCAGAAGACGGTGGGCTTTGGTCAATCTGGGACTGGAGTTCAGAGATTGCAGCCCATGAATTGGAAAGAATATCGGAGGACACGGCTAAGTTCACCAAATCGAATCCGTTGCTGAATCTGCAAAAAAAAAAAAAAAAAATCAAGAACAAGAGACAAGAAACAAGAACGCGTCCATCAGGAATCGAAACGGGTCAAATGAACGCGTAAGGTGCACTTCGTTCGCAGATTTCGAGTCGGGTCTCTTTCGCTTTCGGAACAAACTATAAAGTTAACGAAAGATAGAAGAAGCTTTTTCTTTTGCTTTAACACGTACAGAGGTTTAGCAGCATGAGCAGAGTCCATCGTCGGAGCTTCGTTATTGGGCTGCTGTTCTTGCGGAACCGGCGAGTCGATATCGGCTGAGCTGCGCTCTTCGGACTCGGAGAGTTGAAACAGTCGGAATCAAGTGGCAGTTTGCTCCATGAAATTCCCCCATTGGCAAACTCAAACCAGACAATTTAAACCTCGAGATGGGGACTCTCAATCCCAAGTCAACGGTGGTTCTTTGTTTAGTCTTTTCCTTTTAAATTCATGTTATAGTGATGTGAACTTGTCGGAATCAGCGTGCGTCCACATTTGATGTCCGGGAACAAATTCTTTTCCTAAATGCCAATATTGTTTGTTTCGTTGAAATTGCTCCACGTCAATATAGTTTTGTGAGAGCTTCTTTTAACCGAATAAGAATCCGTTCGTTTGGCGAAAAATATTCTCCTTTTGGAAAATATTTTATGTCACTAAAAGGAACAAACAAATCAGAAATTCAGGAAGGAACAGAATGGCCGAGGAAACCGAATGAGCATCCGAATTAATTCAAGCAAAGCAAAATCAACACAACTAGCGAAACCGGCACATTATTGCTCTTATGATACCCTATAATTTACATTCAAATTACAAGTTTATTCGTTTGTCATGCGAATACTGGGGTGCCTGATTTATAGAGGCGATAGTGTCCGTCCTTCGTGAAACGACCGAGTTCCAAGTTGTGAGAAGCTCCCATCACTTGCTTCCCCAAAATGTCCTCATACTCCCTCCACCATTGCATGTAGCTGCTGCTTTCCAAGAAAATATCGCGAGAAACCGCGTAGTTCTTGAGCAAACCCATAACATACTTCTCGAACTTGACCAAGTTTTCTATTTCTGCGCTGTTCGATCCTCCGCTGTTCAACAACCTGCACGATATCCGTGCCTCCTCCACATGGGCCCAGAAGCATGAATCCTCTGTGACACTGAACATGATCTTCTTCATTTTCGAAACGTTAGGAACACTATTCTTGGGCTGTTTCTGATGTTCGTCCAGCCACTGTTCCAATAGCTTGAAGTGCTTGGATCTCCCTTGAGATATGTAACTTCTTTTGCCCCATTTATAGTACTCGGCTATGTGGAGTGGCTCGACCATCCTGCGGTAATTTGTCCCTGCGAAGAGCCAGCGGATCCGCATCGGTGCTCCCTCTCTCTGAGGCCTCTCCTCCGCCTCTTCCACCATGCGTTCCCAGTGAATTGTGAGCGGTTTTATGAAGTTAACGGCTCTGTGGTCACGCAGAGCCATTTTGTCCTTGAAGCTGTCGTAGTAACCAGAACAGAGGCCTTCGTCTTCGCATTTCTTCCTGTACCATTCCAAATTAGCCAGGTACACTTTCATGTCTTGTAAATCCTCTACAGGATCAAACACTTGATTCTTTCGTTCTATGACGTCATGTTCAGACATCACTATCTTCCTCAACAGAGCATCAACATGCATATTCTGCGGTTGCCATAACAATGAGAGTTCAGTAAATGAACTTCCAAAAGGTGAAAGGAAAGCATTCATAACAATGGTTCATTCGAGTAGAGCAAAATTTTCCTGGTTAAGTGTGTGAAGCTAAACGTGGGGATACAGTTCAGTTTGGTTTAAAATGGCGAAGCACAATTATCCTTCTTAGTTTCGACTAAAACAAGTGCGACATCCCCCTCTGAAAGTATTCAGAACATGTACATGAAAGAAGGTACAGTAAATAGTTACCTGAATTTGCATAAGGCCAATTGCTGCAACTTGCGCAGTTATCCCAGCTTTAAATGAATCAGGATCAGGCACACTAAATGCAGAATGGTTCTTGCAAAACAATTGCCGTTCGAGACATTTAATGATGCTCTTATAATTGAAAATTTTGGCACTTTCCGGGATCCTGGGGGCAAGCAACTCAATTATGGATTTAGGGTCTTCGAAACATGCACCACCCGATTCAGAACACACAAGAAATGTACCAAAAGGCTTGTATAGACTCTGTTCCATGGTCGACGGGTGAAAGAGTTTGGGGAAACAGTCATCCTTTTGAGCCGCATGCAAGAAGCAAGTACTCCAGGTTGAATATTGCGACATGGCTTGTTGGAAGCCACCGTCCCCAATGAGGGGTGAACCGAATGTGATGCAAAGTGGAGGCTTTGTGGTTGCCGAATCTAGTGTGCGTAAGAGCCATAACGTGAAAAGAGAGGCAATGGATCCACCCAAACAATCTCCAGCTATAATGTGTGGAATAGACTTGGAGGAAGTTACTACCTGCTTCAAAGCAGGATGAGCATCGACAAACACAAGTCTATGGGTGGGGGCTAATCAGATTTTCTTACTTGCACATGCATCCCAAAGTCAGTTTTGCGAACATCATCACATTATTTCCCTTTTTGATATTATTACAAAAAACAAGCGATTGAACAATAAAAAAACAAGAAAAAAAATCGGATACCGAAATTACGTGGTTCGGTCGATGTGACTTATCCCACAGGGAGAGCGGCATAGGTCCCACTATAGATCAAGAGATACAATGAAGATTACAACCATCCTCAAGTTACTAAAATACTCTCAGTGTTTCTCAACAGCCAAATCATACTATAATTCACGTAAAAGTGAGTAGGCGTGAAATCTTCAATAAGACCTGATTCGTAGTCTGAGACCAACTCGTAGTGATCTCTCACAGTGACTATGAAAAGCTCATTGACCTTCAGAAATTAGTAACTAGAGCTCATAAATAACTCGAAAAGAAACGAAAGATAAAGGGTATTATTTGAGCTTTCAGGGGCGACAGCTTATCGTGGAGAGAGTTGAATAGAGAAATCACAGCTTTGTTTATGGCAAAAGAGGGGTTCGTCTCGGAGCAGAGAAACTGAAACTCAGAGGCCTCAGATGAAGAAGAAGGGACCAAATCGCTCTCTTCTTGGAGATAACTTTTAGCAACTGGTGGGGTCACAAAAGCAATGATTTTGTATTCCTTGTGTTCAAATTCATGAATTTTCACTGTTTCAGAAGACAATGGGCTCCGATGATTGGGGTCAATCTGGGACTGAAGTTCAGAGATTGCAGCCCACGAATTGCAAAGAATATCGGAGGACACAGCCAGGTTCGCCAAATTGAGGCCGTTGCTGAATCTGCAAAAACAAAGAAGTAAAAAATCAAGAACAAGGGACTGACTGAGAAACAAGAACCAAGAACGCGCCGACTCGGAAGCGAAAAGGGTCAAATGACTGCGAAAAAATTCACTTCCTTCGCGGATTTCAAATTTGGGTCTCTTGTGCTTCCGGAACAAACTATAAAGTTGAGCAAAAGGAAGAAGCTTTTTGTTTGTTTCTTTGGCTACTTACAGCGGTTTAGGAGCTTCCACGGGGTCCATTGTCGGAGCTACCTTGTTGGGCTGATGTTTTGGCGGACCCGGCGAGTCGATATTAGGTTGAACTGCGTTCTTTCAGATTTGAAGAATTAAAACAGTGAGGAGCATGTGGCAGTTCGCTGCAAAAACGTCCATATTTGAGGTGGGCAACAAATTCTTCCTAAAATGCCAAAACCTACCTTTGCTTCTTCTTCGTGGCTCTCCAACCAACCAATGAACAAAGGATGGGTAAAAACTACAACGTATTTACGCGGGAAAATAACGTTTTCCTAAGCAGATCTACCCTTTGCGTACCTTCAACATTTTGTTTGTAATAAGTTCCTATTTCTAGGAATGCTACTATAACCTTTTCTTTGTCCAACAGCCATTTTGTCGTCCGAGTCTGAGGACTATTCTTTGGAAAGTTGTTTGCAAGGAATGACTTCCTCCGGTCAATTCTTGAATGGGATTTTTTTTCTTTCTTTTGCCAGGATTTCTTGATTGGCGGTTGAGGAGGGCTGAACTTCAGTCTAATTGATTTTCTCAACTCGACCCTATAAAGGTTTTTCCGAGCTCGACTCGATCCTTGATGATGTAAGAAAAGTAGACCACTAAGACAAAGCCCAAACTTGAGATTTGGAAAATACAATAATAATAAATGCACCAAAAAGATCTTGCCGTAATGACCCGGTTTAACGAGGGCGCGAAGTAATCGCCGAGGCATGAGCGTCTGGACAAGGAGCGGCTCCTAGCTGACTTCTAAGATGGCGAAGGGGATAGGAATGAATTGAAGTGTACACTGAACATGGGGAGATGATTTTGTGATGTGCGTTCGCGTGTGAAAACTAGAATTAATTCACTGAGGCACTTTTTAGCGTAACAGTAAGCTTTGCTTTGGAATTTCAAAGTTTAGTGTACTCGTACTAGAATACTACTAGGATGGGTGACTTCACTAATTGCACCACCGGATTGTTTTCCTTCTTTAGCCAAGTAGCCATTTAATAAGTCTCTTCTGGATTCTTATCCCTGTATATTATGAGCTAGTAATTGGCATTACAGGCATGCAACTTATTGACATGCAAAGATGATTATACTTTGATTTATTAGACAGAAAACGACAAGCCTATCATTAAACCACTTAAGGAGGCATGTTAATATATGGAAAGCCGAAAAGTTACCAATCAAAGAGGGAGTGTTGAATTATTCTGGCCTGTGAAGTCCTATAAATGGCCACATTTTTCACCGTTCCGCCATATCAGTTGAATTTATATTGATTTTCCAGCGTGCGCTACAGAGGGCAAAACAACTCGAGCGAGAATGACGGAGGGTGCCAATGCTCGGCAAGCTACCTTCTCGAAACATCAACCAGGGCTATTCAGGAAGGCAAGTTAAGTATGTACTCTTTGTGCCGTTGAGGTGGCCATTATCGTTCTCTCTCCTAGAGGCAAGCCTTTCTATTTTGGTCACCCTTCTGTGGATGCAGTCCTAGATATGCTTGAGCATTTAAAGATGGCTTGTATTGATGCTTCTCAGCAGATTCTAACTGATAGAGACCTAATCCTAGAGAAACTGAACAAATGATATGCCAATGTGCACGAGCAACTGAAAGTTGGAATGAAAGGAGCTAAAGAGCTGAATGATATTAAGCCCCTGCGATTCTAAAACTTTAGCTTCAACGATTTTATGGTATTCAAGAAACGGCTGGAAGATCTTGAGAAAGCAGTGGACAAGAGAAGGATGGAGCTCTTGGCCTTAGAGGCTTCAAGTTCAACTCCATGCCCAAGAGCTGTTAATGCCTCTATCAGGAGCCAAAACGATGATAAATGCGGTGATCCTTGTAAAGCAGAAGTTGGAAATGAGTAATCAATTCCAGCGGACTTACGGAGAGATTGTTGACTCATGCTAAATTTCGGCATTATTCAGTCAATCTCTCCGCTTCAACAAGAGAGGCCTGCTGATAATAAAGCAGTAAAAATGCTCAATAAAGTAGCAGCTATCTCTTTTTTCTATGTTGTTTCGGTTGAAATTACTCGTTTTAATTACAGTCTCGTGATAGATGTTTTTCAACCAAATAAGAACCTGCACGAAAGGAACAAACGTACGAGTAATTCCTGAAAGGCGGAGCAAACATAAACTCTTGACTTCCGAATCAAAATTCTTGGACTCCTCTTAAATTGAGAATTTGACTCGATTCAAGCAAAGCAAAATCAACACAATGAGCGAGGCCAGCACATTCTTGCTCTTATAATGCACTATAAATTACAATCAAATTACCCAGTTTATTCATCCGTCATGCGAATACCAGGGCACCTGATTTATACCGGTGATAGTCTCCGTCCTTCATGAAACAAGCGAGTTCCGAGTTGTGAGAAGCTCCCATCACTTGCTTCCCCAAAATGTCCTCATATTCCCTCCACCATTGCATGTAGCTGCTGCTTTCCAAGAAAATATCGCGAGAAACCGCGTAGTTCCTGAGCAAACCCATAACATACTTCTCGAACTTGACCAAGTTTTCTATTTCTGCGCTGTTCGATCCTCCGCTGTTCAAAAACCTGCACGATATCCGTGCCTCCTCCACATGGGCCCAGAAGCATGAATCCTCTGTGACACTGAACATGATCTTCTTCATTTTCGAATCGTTAGGAACACTATTCTTGGGCTGCTTCTGATGTTCGTCCAGCCACTGTTCCAATAGCTTGAAGTGCTTGGATCTCCCTTGAGATATGTAACTTCTTTTGTCCCATTTATAGTACTCGGCTATGTGGAGTGGCTCGACCATCCTCCGGTAATTTGTCCCTGCGAAGAGCCAGCGGATCCGCATCGGTGCTCCCTCGAACTGAGGCCTCTTCTCTGCCTCTTCCACCACGGATTGCCAGTAAATCTCGAGCTCTGTTTTGAACCTAACGACTTCATGGTCACGCTTGGCCATTTTGGTCTTGAAGCTGTCATAGTAACCAGGACGCCGGTCGTCGTCTTCGCACTTGTTCTTATACCATTCAAAATAAGCTAGGTACACTTTCATTTTGTTCAACGCCTTGGCAGGATCAATTGTCGGATTCTTTCGTTTCAGGATGTCTTGTTCAGGCATCACTATCTTCCTCCACAGAGCATCAATATCCATATTCTGCGGCTGCCATGACAACGAGAGTTCAGTAAATGAAGTTCCAATGAGTAAAGCGAATGCATTCATAACAAGGGACAATTCAGGTGGGTAAATTTTTCCTGCTTAAGTATGTGAAGCTAAAAGCGGGGATACAGTTCATTTTGCTTTAAATGGCAAAGCACAATTATCTTTCTGGTTTTGACTAAAACAAGTGTGAATCCCCTTTTGAGATGTACGCACTACATGTACACTAAAGAAGGTACAACAAACAGTTACCTGAATTTGCACAAGGCCAATTGCTGCAACTTGCGCAGTTATCCCAGCTTTAAATGAATCAGCATCAGGCACACTAAATGCAGGTTGGTTCTTGCAAGTCAATCGCCCTTCGAGACATTCAATGGCGCTCTTATAATTGAAAATTTGGGAATCTGCAGTGCTACCATTCCTTTCCAGGCTCATCCGGGTGAGCAACTCAATTATGGATTCAGGGGCTTCGAAACATGCACCACCCGATTCAGAACACAAAAGAAATGTACCAAAAGGCTCGTATAGCCTCTGCTCCGCGGTGGACAGGAGAAAGAGTCTGGGGATACAGTCATCCATATGAGCCACATGCAAGAAGCAAGAACTCCATGTTGGATATCGCAATATGGCTTGTTGGAACCCACCGTCCCCAATGAGGGGCGAACCAAATGTGATGCAAAGTGGACGGTTTTGGGTGGCTGAATCGAGTGTGCGTAGGAGACATAGCGTGAAAAGAGAGGCAATGGATCCACCCAAACGATCTCCTGTTATAATGTGTGGAATAGACTTGGAGGAAGTTGCAACCTGCATCAAAGCTTGATGAGCATCGACAAACACAAAGTCTATGAGGGCCGATCAGATTTTCTATCCCTAGTCAGTTTTGCTAACATAAACATACTCTTTCCCTTCTGATATAGTTACAAAAAACAGACGATTTAACAATAAAATAAACAAAACAAAGAAATAAATTGGACACCTGATCTATGTGGTTTGGTCGACCTACCCTACAGGGGAGAGCGTCACATGATTCCAATACAGATCAAACGATACAATAGAAATAAGAACTGCACTCGAGTCTTCTAGCAGCCAATCACACTCAAGAACTAACAATTTCTTGCGAAACAATCTACATGATTCACAAATCTTACACAAGATTTATTAGCTTCAAAACACTTATAATTGCTTCAGGATGTAATTCATGAGCACGCTGCACAAATGATTGTTACGGCCCAAAACTCCTTTATAATAAGTAAAAACCTAAAACCCACCTACTATGTATAATATTTGGATGCAAAATAGAAAACCTTTTTAGCAGATTCAAATTAGGTATCCAACTTCAATAAGGATTTGTTGTTACTCCATACATTTCTATCAACCAAAAGTCCAATCAAGACTTTTCTAATTTAAATCACAAGTATTATTGGGATTCGGAATTTCTACTTAGATCGGGGACATGTTCTCAAAAATATTGTGATTTGGTCAAACAAAATCTCCGACCAGCTTTTGCTCCCCAGACTCTAGTTACGGGAGGTCAAAGGAAGGGAGTTGCCAGCTGACACTAGGATTACGGAATTCCTGACGAACCACTTCCTTATGATCTAGCTAGCTCCAATGAGCAACTTTGAGCAAGATTCAGACCCCAGGCTTCTTGAAAGCCTAATTACTTTACCAACTCAGCCACACTCCTTCGGTTTACGCACGTTGAATAAATCAACAATATTTCTAAGGTCCGGATGGGAATTATCCAAACACAGAATTTGAATTGCAGTCACATCTTGATTCACTCGGAGCTGCATTGGTATGCTTAAGTTTAACTCAAAACAATTTATTCCTTTTTCTCTTCTCGGCTAGGAATAGGATTAAGGTTAACTCAACTGAAAAGAATGGGAAAGGCAAT